CAAACCCAACCGCCGCGAGGTAGATCAGGTGGTCATGCATTTCAGCATGGATGGTGGCATCCTTCTGAAAGACAGCCCAGAAGCACAAGATCAAGACGAGGCTCTTAGTCAAGCTGCTGTAAACTAATCTTGCTGATTCACTGCTGTCACGAGGTTCTTGACAAGAAGCAGCAGGAGCAGACTGAAAAAGATAGCCAAGAGGCAATCGATGAAGATTTCGATCCTCCAGAAAACGAGAAGGACATCGCCAACTGTTCAAGTGCCGAGGGAGTTGGATCGACATTTCGTTTCCTTTCGTACATCTGCAGGAGATTCCGAAAAAGAATCCTCTCCGAGCCTTGGCTTGTCTGATAGCTTTCTGCGGCCGGGGCGAAGCAGGATCAGGTAAACTCGCTTTACAGCCGAGGCAACCAGTTCAACTTCAGTGAGCGAGCTGCGCAAACGAAGAACCACTTGCTACGAGACCGCTCGTGGACAACCCAGCCACCGCCCACGACTCGAAATTACGGCACCCCTGGCAGTCTTTGTGCAAGGGTGTGCGATGTTGCTTGCGGCAACCTTTGCAGATATGCTTTCACTTGTTAATGCTTCGAACCAGGTGAATAGACCTGAGCTTGTGTCACGTTCCGAAATTTGCCTGACTCTGTCGAGAGCGAGTGCCAAAAATGTGTGGTCGTCTTTGCCAAGGTACTGTTACGCAGTGGGAGATTTTCGATCAGTACATGGCAGACATCGAGGCGGCCAAGGCAGCCCGAACCAGCACCTGTTTCATGCGAGATGTGAGAATGTTGTTGGTTGCATCTGCCTGGCAGGAGAAAGAAAAAGAAGCAACTTGCCAGCAACATTGATGCATAATTAGTCTGGCAGCGGGACTTCGGGGGGTTCCCTAGAACATATGCTTCCGACATAGACGTAAACGGCATAGATTCGCGGTTTGAGGACTCACAGGAAAACTGACCCCAAGATGCACCAACAATAAGGCCACGTGATACTGTGCTGCTGAACCGAACCGGGGCCTCGAAGATCGATGCCAAACAGAAGCAGAAAATTCGCGAGTTTGCTCCCTCGGACAGGAGAAGACGAAGTCCAAGATCTCGTATGATGATCTGACGGATGCCAAAAAGAAGAAGGGCGACACAGACCCCACCTACTCAGAAAACATGAAGCTCTCGATTAAGATCATGGAGCGCATGGTCAACCAGAACCTTGGCTGAGCCTGACATGTCGGCCTGCTTGCCCAGTCTGGCCTGAGCCAGTCTTCCATTTCTCATGTCCACACTGACAGGAATGCAGAAAACGAAGTCTACCATGACTTCAAGTTCTGGGAGGACAGTCGCTTTGCAAACTCGGGCATCGAGACTCGAGACCGTTGTGTTTGCGACACGGCTGTTCCACACACCTTGTCTCTCAGGATCGCAGTGACGAGTTTCGTGATGGAGAAGGGACGCTGCTGCCGTTGTGGCGTTTTTCGTCCGAAAAGGCAAAGAAGAAGCAGGCTTGGAACAGTGGACGGAGAGAGGATGTTGCGTTAATACAAATAGAACTGTAACTATATGACAGTTGTCCTTGGGACTTGCAAGTATGATTGAAGAGTGGAAAGCCGATTAGCTGAGTGGGACAGGTTACATGTATCAAATGGAACCCGCGATACAATGACCTCTGTGCTGTGGGCTTTGGTTCCTATGCTGCTTGGCTCGATTCCTCAGCCCGGGATGATGCACAGGTCATTGCGGTTTGCTGAAGCCATTTCCTTTGCAGCTTCTGAGATCCTGGTTCATGAGAGTCTGCGCCTCTCTCTGTTCTTCCATTCTGTCGAAGCCTTGTACTCCATGACACGTATTGTTCTCAGCATGACCTATGACCTATGGCCCATGACTGTATCGCGTTGAGCGCCCAGGACTTCATGCGACAGGGCACAGGCGTAATCTGTTGCTATTCATTGAAGAACACGCGCTTCCCCGAGTATGTGTTCAATACGGACGCCGGCGTTTGCTGCCTCGAGCCTCGGCCCCACTATGAGCGTGTATGCCTGGGCGCCTCTGACGCAATCACACACACACATGCACGGAAGACAGGATTGGCATCCTGCTCATCCAGCAGTTTTGGCTGTCGGGCTCTATGATGGCACTGTGCTCGTCTATGATGTCCGAGCGAAGACTAAGAAGCCCATATACCAAAGCACCGTGCCTCGACTGCCAATTTCTCTCTTCCCCACCTGTTGTCGCATGGCTTGTGGTGCGGCCAGAAATGCCTTTCTGGCTGGTGAATCGTGCTGCCAGGTTCGAACCAACAAGCACACAGACCCTGCCGCCAGGCTGCAGGACATCGCGAGCAGAACTTCCAGGGTTTTGTAGCCTTATGATAGGTAGGTGCGTGGCAGCTGTCAGTGTCTGCAGCAGCCTCGAAGGCGCCCATAAAGATTGCGTCGGGTAGCAGATGTTGCAAGGTTCATGGGTCGTTTCTCGGTTCGCCATCTGGTTCTAGTTCGCTTGTTCTTTCGTTGGTGACCTTTGTGGGTTGTGTGTGTGTGTGTTGATCACTGATATGTGCTGATGCGGCAAGTGTTCCAGGTGTGACAAATGTGCCTGCACATGTTGTTGACATTGCTCTAATTCGGGTGCCTTGCCATATGCTGTCTCCTTACGATCATATCTGCTCTTTTTGGTGTTCGTTGAACGTTGATGGTGGCTGCCGTCGTGGTGTTCTTCGTCTTCACCGCTTTGAGTAGATGCCCCGAGTGTACTCGTCGTTGTGTTCTTGGCTGTGCTTTGCATGTTTGCGGTGGTTGGGATCAAGCTCGGGTTGGGGAGCTCACGCATAGAATTGGAGCCCCGCTTTCAGGAAGGTGTGCCAGCACGTGCTAGTATTGCCCATCACGACTCGTCGTGATTGCTTGCATTCTGTCCCACACACTTTCTTTGTTGTCCTCTTGCCCTCCTTCTTTCCACCTAAATGCTCGTGTCCGCCAATTGCCTGCGTCTGCGACAGGGTCTTTGCGTTTCATGCCCATCTGCATGGACAACGGAATTTGCATAGGTAGCTGCCGCTGTATGCCAGAGTTAGTCCTTCTGCGTGCTTTGATGTAGTGGGGGCCCGAAAGCCTGATTGCGCCAAGCTAGCGGTGTGTGTGTGTGTGTGTGTGTCTGCCTGTCTGTCTGTCTGTCTGTGTTAAAAGTAGAGGCTATTCGAGCTTTGCCTTCAAGCATTGCTTCTACAGTCATTCTGATTTGTCTTTCTTAGATGCTGGATCCATTCGCAGCGAGACCGGTCAGCTTATTCGGCACTGATGAGCACTCCTAGTGGGGCAACAGCAGCAACACGAAGAACGTGCAGGTCTCCAGTAACTTAGCAGTTTGTCTGTGTTTGTGTTGCCCTTTGAAGTGAGGTGTGGGAAGTGCGCTGGAATGACGACGAATCAGCTGGGGCCATGAACTTTTATTCCATCTCCTCTGATGGACGAGTTTCAAACTGGTTCTTGTTGAAGAACAAGCTGGAGAGTGAAGAGGCGTGTCATATGACGTCCTTCACAGCTCTCTAAGATGTCATGCCTTTGCAACATGGCCTGCATATTTTCTTGGAGAAAGGTGATGGAGCTGAAGCTCATATCTGCAGCTGCCGGTGAGGACGAGACGACCTTGGCAGGCAGATGCATGACCAAAGCATCCACGGTTTTGAACATTCCACTGCCACTGCCACTGCCCGGCGGGCGGCTGCATGTTTTGCTTGTCCTCCGATCAGGTCTTGCGGGAGGCCTTTGTTTCGACTTCCGAGGTGGAAAGGAGCGGATCGAGAGCTGCATGTGGAGTTCACATGTCCATCTTGTTATGTGTTTGTTAAAAGACGCGGCAGCGTTCGTTGCCTTCAACTCAGACGACTGCAAAGACTGAAACAGCTGCTTCTTGTGAAGGAGAACCACCTCTTCTTGGTTGGAACTGAAGAAGGACGCATCCACAAGTGCTCCAAGGCATTCAGTGGCCAGTACCTTGAAACGTACGAAGGTCACACCATGGCCGTCTACACAGTTCGCTGGAATCCTTTCCATGACAAAATATTTATTTCCGGATCGGCTGACTGGACAGTAAAGCTCTGGAATCACGAAAGTCGCCAGGCAATCTTGTCCTTCGATTTAGCGCAAGCAATTGGAGACGTGGCCTGGGCACCATACTCCTCCACGACTTTTGCCGCCATCACATCTGAAGGTGCAGGTGGTTCGACCAGTGGCGTGGTCCATCTCTACGACCTGCATGTGGACCGCAACAACCGCATTTGTGAGCAGAAAGTCGTCAAGCGAGCGAAGCTGACACATGTTGCATTCAGCTCCAGTGAGCCCATCATCATCGTCGGGGATGATCGTGGCGGGGTGAACACTTTGAAGCTGTCACCAAACTTGAGGGCAGGGGTCGTTCGAACAGAGGACACTGACCCTAATCTGACAGATTGGGATCTTCAGATCCAAAAGATGGAGCATTTGATGGAGATGGTCACGGAGACCAGGCCAGCATAGCAGTGCCGGCTCAAGGCCCAGAATTCGGATGCAGTTGCGATGTTTTCCATCTGATGCATGCGGCCTCCAAGCAGTACAGAACACCCTGCAAGAACAGTTTGCTGCGGTGCTGGGAGGTTTTACCATGAAGTGCGCATAGCTCGGGAACCTGGTGCTCCGTGCCACAGAGCGACCATTGAGGAACTAGACCCAGGATGCGAGAAGTATCAAAACTCTCGTGCATTGGCCGGGGTCAGAACGGTCGAACTCGACCACGTTTCACCAATTGAATGCCGACCGGCTCAACCAGAAGTCAAGATGTGCTTTCGCTTTCAGCATCGATGCAGGGGACTTGTTGCATCCCCGCTAGCATGACCAGCTTTGCACTGCTGGCGTCTTCTGGCTGCTGTTATTGGAGGTTTAGATTAGAACCTGTGCAAAAGCATTTTGAGTGCCACCACACCGCCAAAAAGTCCTTTCTTTCGCCGCTCCGAGGGTTGGCGTCGCGGAGGGGACCATGGCACTTCTTGAGCAGGAGACGGCTCTGGGGCGAAAGATGGCGAAAGGCTTCTTCTTCTTTCCGGTAGTACGAGAACTGTGGGTGCATGGGTACTCTTAGTCTTAGTGTCTTAGTAAACTGATTCGTTCTTGGTTTTACAGTACGCTACTCCTCTTGCTACTGCAAGGCTTCGCCAGGCTTGGCTCGTAGCTTTGGTCACCGGGATGTCTGGGAATATGCAAGGACTGAACAAACAAAAACTAACTGGACAGGCAGGAAGGAGGAAGGAAGGAGAACCATGCCATTTGCATGATTAGCGGAAACCAATTTTCGCCTTCGTGCTGATTGTTTCCTTAATTAAGCAACATGCAGTGCTTCGGAGCCGAATATACTTGCGATCACTGTTGTTGTTTCTTCCAGGCACCAAAGATGGTTAGCCTTCAGTTTGTTCGTTCGCGGGCCGTACTGTCGTCAGTCAGGATGTGCCCTTCTTCTCACAGCTGACGGTCCGCGAAACCATCTGCTTTGCAGCCCAATTGGAGGCGACGAGCGATTGTTTGCACATTGCAACGGTGTAAATAAGCAAGTTTGAAGGAAGCACATAGAATCCACAGAATTTTGCAAATCTGCAAATGTGTTTTCAGTTGTAAACATGTTTTCAGTTGCTAATATATTTTTTTGCTTGTATCTGCGTGAATATACATACACACACATATAGATAGATAGATAGATAGATAGATAGATAGATAGATAGATAGATATATATATATATATATATATATGATCCCGGTTCTCGGTTCACCGACCCCCCCCCCCCCCCCCCCCCCCCCCCAATGGTATCCCCCCCCCCCCCCCCCACGCTCCCCAAGCCGAAATCCGTGTGTGACTGTGCAAGCTTTTTCCAAAGGAGGGCTCACACACGCCAAGCAGACCCACGCAGGAAACCCAAACCACACCACACCACAGGAGGGAGTGGGGAAACCGCACCACACCACACCACAGGGAGGGGGAAGCAACCCGCAACCACACCACACCACAGGGGGGGAGGAGGAACCATCGGGGGGGGGAGGGGGGGGTGCTGGCCGAACCGGGATCATATATAAGCATCCGTTAAAACTTCCGTAATTGTACTTAAGAGTAGGGTGACCGTGGAATGTCGGATTTTGCCAATTTCCTCGGAAAGCGATAGGACCCCCCCAAACGCGATACGATTAACGAGCGAGGATCATCCGTTTGGATATTTCCGTGCAGCCGCGGCATTTGTGCCTAATTTTTTCGTGCGATATATGGCTAGGCAATCGATACCTTAATCGATACCCAATCGATGCCCTAATCGATACCTACAAGATCGTTTTATGAGCCACTGCCCCATGCAGTAAAGGGCAGCAGAGGGCAGTAAAGGGCAGTACAGTGCAATAAAGGGCAGTAAAGGGCAGATGAAGGGCAGTAAAAGGCAGTAAAGAGCGGTAAAGGGCAGTAAAAGGCAGGTAAAGGGCAGGTAAAGGGCGGTCAAAGGCAGTAAAGAGCAGTAAAGGGCAGCAAAGGGCAGGGCAAGCTACGAGTAGGATCAGTGAATCTGATGGTCTTCTTACTTTCACAAGAGCAAAGCGATACCTCGCAGAAACATGCGACGGAATCCTTGTAAAGCGATAGGACCCCCCCAAATCATCCATGGTCTAGCCATGAACAAGAAGTGTTGACAAGCGATCATCTATATATATATATATGTATGTATGTATGTATATGTATATGTATATGTTGGGATGGGCCCCTCCCCACTAATAGCCCATAAAGGGCACGAAGAGCAGTCATACACCAAAGAAAAAGCCCATTCAACCTGATCAAACTCACCCCCTGCCTCAGCACCACCCAACACCCAGCAACCCAGCACCACTACCCACCACTCACCAGTTCATTGCCCACCGACCAGCACCTAACACCAGCACCCAGCACCTGCACCCAGCAACCCACCACACCATTCATACAACACTTCAGATTCCAAGACTGGATGATATCGTCTCATTTGATATTTAGTGGCTGGCATCAGTGCTTTCATAATGATTCGGCGCTCGGCGACGCTACTTTTAGAATGCAGGAAATCATATCGACTCACAACCCCGAACTACCTATAGCTTATATCACTTATATCATATTTATTTTATCAACTCTATGATGGTAATGTCTTGCTTACTTGGTCCTACACTCAGCAGTCGCACGCTAGGTGCAGTTGTGGTGTAATTACAATCCAGATCCCACTCAATTTCGACTTCGGGACCTTTGCTTGCTCCAGCTCCCCACGTTGAAAATCTCAACTGTCGCTGCTGCGCAGTCAGAATGCTGGCTTGGCGGGCTTCTCCCTTCGGATTTTTTGTTTGGACCTAGTCGACTCTCAGACTAGCAGCATCGCAGCATCGGAGGACAGAAATTTCGAGCATTGAGTCATTGAGTTCCTTGGCATCCATCCACCCACCCACCCAGCCAGCCTTCCATCCATCCATGTACCCATGTAACATCTAATTACATGTGCATCTGTTTGCCTTTGTTATTCATAGAAACGTGTGGTGTGGTTGTGTGTGGCAGCTTTGTGTGTAACTGATCGTGCATTCTCGCGTGCAGGGCATGTCCACAAGTGCAGCGGCAACGGAGGCGGCCACCCTCTTGAAGAGGTTAAGGCTGTATGCCTCTTGCGCAACGGCAAACTCCTTGATTCATGGCTGAGACTTGACGTTTGAGGCTGGAGGCTGTTGCCGACCGGCGTGTCGGCGAGCGCTACATCGGGAGCTCAGGCTGCCGTGTCATGTGTTATGCTCCTTTTGGTTCACCCTGTGGGATTGAATTTAAGTTTAGGTGCCCTGCAATCGGTGCTGTCAAGTCGCTGCGTTTTTCCAGCATTTTCGTTTCCAGCTCAGGGTTAATGGCTCGTAGGCTGGAATATGAGATGTGTATACGCGCAGTGCATTCAGAATGGCTGGATTTGCCTTGCCGGGGCTCTCGGCAGATGCACCTGCAGAATCAGTGACTTTAGTCCGTTCGTGAAGCAAACTGTACATGCACCATGTGTCAGGCCAAGGGCTGTCTGCGACCAAGTCTTCACTGAAAGTACTTGGAGGGATCAGCGCCGGAGTGCTCTTTGGATCTCCGCGGTGGTACGGTTCGACAGTTCATGTGATAAGGTCGGGCGGTGAACAGCGCCGCTTGGCACTCGGCTGTGCATTGGCAGGGGAGGTGCGGCATGCTCCCTGCAACGACTAGAGATCGCCAGAGTCACCAGTCGCCAGGGCGGAACGCAGAAGTCCAAAGCACTGCTGGCAGACGAGCCAACGACTGGTCTGGACACTTCTTGCACACAACAGGTCACCGATGCGTCGCACCTGTGCTTGGCTCCAGGACACTTTTCAAGCTGCGGACATGGTTCAGCTTTTGGGAGAGCTGGGAAAGGCGCGTCACTGCGCAACAATCTTGCTTGCAGCTGAGTTGTGATGGTCGACTCCTCACAGAGTCGAGCGCATCGAGTCCTGCCTGCTTCAAGGACAATCCATCAACCCAGATCATCCGTCTGGAGCATGATTGAGGACGTTTTGCTTCTGGCGTTCCTCTGTTTGCAAATAGTTGAACAAGACTCTGAATGTGCCTGCGGCCACATGCAGCCACGGGTGGAACCGCGTTTAAGGCCAGGGGGCCAAAGCATCTTCTGCGGGCCCACGGAGGAGGAGTAGCCCTTCGTAAGCTTGCCTCCCTCCTTTCGTGGTGTGTGTGTGTGTGTGTGTTTTTTTGTGTGCCGCCTGTGCATGTTGGGGCCTTGCAGTGCAGGCCATCGCACATCTTGAAGCACTGGGACATGCGTGCCCTCGCGAAGGGGTAAGCACTCTCAGCTCAGAGTGCATGCTGCGCTGCTGATCCTGCCTGCCTTGCAAATCCTCGTGACCCAAAATTTGCAGGTGAACCCCGCTGATTTCTTGATCGACTTGATATCGGTGCACACTGGCGGACCTGAAGCGGAGCAGGACCGTCAGAGGATAAGAAGGCGAGTGGTTGATGGAGATGCTCGCACGCGGTCCCTCTCTCTCCTTCTCTATCCTTCTGCTCAGGCTGGCGGAGGCTATGGTGGTTTCAGAGGCGGTGCCAGTTCAAGGTTGGACTCCGCCTTCCCCCTGCAATGTCCTGATTGCAATGATCCACCCCAGAGGCAAAAGAGAATCTTCAGATGTTTCACGTCTTGGTGGACTTCATGGCTTCTGCCTTCTTCTTAGCAGAGCTTGGCTGCAAACCTCGCGAGACAAGGTGCCCTGAAGTGATCAACATTCAGTGGAGATGTTGTACTTGGGCGGTACAGGCCACGAACTTGTCCCGCCTGCTGGCCACTGCCGGACTAGGTGCTGCAACTCTCCATGGCATGTTCACCGGCACATGATGTCCTAACGGTGTATTGAAAAGCGTGTGCTACCAGGCATAATATTTGGCGCCCAGTTCGGCTACTTCGGAGAAGAGATGCACGCTCGCCAGTCACAGTAACTCGGATTGTAAGCTGCTGGTGCCAGGCAAGCCCTTGTCCTGCTAGGACCGCAGTTGGTGTTACTTCACGTGCCGCAGCCTGAGTGTGGCTAGGTGCAAGGCCAATCAGTCTCACGTGCCTCTTTGGACAGACTGTCCGAACTGCCAAGAGCGCTTCAAGTTCAGCTTCAGCCAGCATCAGGTTGGATTGCTTTCCTTCGGTTCCATCTCTATGGCCTGGTGCTCGCCAGGCTGCTGTGCGTAGCCCTCACCAGTCCCAAGTCCTGTCGGACCAGGCATTTATCGGTGAGATGAGAGCCTTGGATCAGTTCGCAAAGGAGAAGAAGGTGGTCGGGCGAGAACGCAGCACCCTCGGCTTGGCAGGGCCAGTGCTGCGTGCTGTTTCTTGTGCTCCAAAAAGCTCCGTGCTCTGGGGCAGAGGAGCTGCTGGCTACTACAATGGATTTACGTATCTCTGCGCCAAAGCAGTCGCCGAGCTGCCGTCAGATGCCTTGCCGGAAGCCCAGCTCAAGATCAAAACGGCTTGAGCCCAGTGCGAGCTGGAAGTCCTTTGTGGTTTCTGTGGCTTCTTGACATACTAGACATGCTTCGTCACGACAATTCAAGTGCTCGGTCTTGAGTTGCAGGGTTCTGACTTTGACTCATGGTGGCTTCCAGACGCACCGGTGCCTGTCTGCACGGTATTCCTGCGGATGGGAGCTCATGTGTTCGCCGGTCCTTCGTTTGCGGGTGCCCGTGTGCGCACGCCCGTTACAAGTAACTAGTCAGCAGCCATCTGAATCACATGCACATTTGTAGGGGACGGGAAGGGTGGCGAACCAATCGCGACGACACTTGGAGGCAGGAGCACTGGGTTTGGTCATCCTTGAAGTCATGTTCGTGTTGCTCAATTTCGCGTGTCTGGTGCGAGGGCGCCTCAGCATGTTTTCCGCATCTTATGCCATTCCTGTTGCCTGGCTGGTGTTGTCATCGCCATAGTCACCTCACCATCATAAGTTCGAGTTTGGTCGAGTTATATGGCCGTGTAGAGCAAGCTATCATAGTGATCAGCTTGCATGGCTTCGGTGTTCGTTGCCTGAGGGCAGGGTAGTGTCGCATCTTGGGAGTATCGGATTGCAATCCTGACTGCACTGCTGCACTATGCTGCACTGCTCCATACCTTACATGCACTGGAAACTTCCTCAATGCAGCGCCTGCGTGGCATATTCAAGCACGTGGTATCGCCAGGTGTGAATTCTTACGAGGCCCGTGCATGCAGGAGGCATCCGGCATTGTGAAACCCAGCCGCCATTGCATTGTTGTGGCAGTACGGCGAAGACCCGTGAGAGTTCAAGTATGCAAACTCCCTAGAATAGCATGTCCTGGACATCGTCCAGGAGGCCGTTTGGCATTTGGTTCATTGATCCAGCAAACACGAAACTGAAACCTGTCCACCTGCAGAGCAGTGCACAATTTGGCCCAGGTTTGCTTGCTTCTTTGTGCGGGGCTCAGCGTCAATCGTTTCGTGGAAGGTGTTTGAACCCAAGCCCTCAAAGACTTCGCCCTCCAGCTAGGCACTGATGGTACATCTGCGTTGTGGTCTCCGAGCACCGTTCATAGCATTAGCAGCAGTTTACTCTCTTGTTGCCTGGCTCTCAGCGGGCATCTGAACTCGGGGCGTGTTGTGTTACGAAGCACCCTTGATCTCCGTGTGATCCCAGCACTCAGCTCTGCAAGGCACTCGTCTGTGCGGCTCTCGGACTCGCAATAGGCCGCAGACAAAGCCGAAGTTGTTACCTACATGTAAGTGAGACATGCGCTGGGCCAACCACGTCATGCATTGTGATGCTGGGCTGTCACACTGCAATAACGTGATGCTCCTCGGGCGACGTTGCCTTGTGGACAGGGGCAGCTATTCCTAATGGAGAGCGGGCAATGACTGCTGGCATCCCGGTCATGCTTCTGCCTCGGCGTGTAAGCGGCACTGTAGTGGCGGTGGAGCAAGTCGTCCCCATTCAACTTGACGGGTTGGCGATACGTCATGGCACATCCGCACCTTAGTTTCCGTTGCATGAGCAAGGACCGTGCACATGTTGACTGGTGTCATTGACCCGGCGGGCGGTGCTGCAGCATCACCCAGCGCTTCAATGATCGCTTTGTCTGGGCCTGTGCACTCGAAATTTGTCTTGCCCTTGCCATCTCTGCCGCAGCAAAATTGCACTCCAGAGATGCAGCGAGCCTCGTGCCGCTCCAGGCGAAGCTTCTCGCCAATCCGCTATGCCATCGAGGTGCGAGACCCAGGAAGGTTGTGTCAAGTAGCAGAGCTGAAAGGGTTGAAAGGGAACAGGACCTCAACTAGAAGCCGTGTGAAGGCCCCACCACGGGCGAATCTTGTCTCTGAAAGCTTCTGCTGCTATCGCAAGCCTGGGCTCAAGCCTGGAGCCGCAACATTCATTCATTGGTCCCGAGGTCTGCAGATAGAGTCAAGTCACAGAAGAGAATGCAGTGCACATCGTCGGGTATATCTTGCTTGTGCACAGGACCCGCCGCCCGAGGAGAATCATGGCGGGCAACTTCAATCTTCAGCGGATCCTGGGGAACATGCCAGGTATGGCAGGTGGTCCCGTGGTCAAGTCTTTGAACATGTCCACGCGCAGATGCGCTGAGCCTTTCCTTCGGCTGCAAGGTGGTGGTCAGCAGCCACAAGAAGATGCTTCCTTAACAGACACCGCTGAGCAGGCGAAACTGGGGGCGTTTGGATTGCGGTGCATGTGCCGATTGGTGGACAACTTGTGCAGGTCTACATTTCTTCTCTGGCTTTGCTGAGTCTCACTCGCATTGTGCTAGCCGCGACGAACTAGCGATCGGAAAGTGGCCGCGGCATCGCCAGTTCGAGACCATTTAGGTTGGCCTTTTTTCCTGGGACGTGTACATGACAGCCTGACAATGCAAGGAAGATGTTGAAGCACGGCCGCGCTGGAGTTCCGATGGAGGTTATGGGCCTTATGCTTGGCGAATTCATTGATGACTACACCGCCACCCGGACTCCGAACTAGAACCGACACCTTTTCGGGCCCCGTGGCTGACGGATTTTGATTTGAAGCACCGCACTGATCGAAGGTACGCGTAGTGGATGTCTTCTCGATGCCGCAGTCAGGAAACAGTGTGAGCGTCGAGGCAGAGAAGTTTCGGACACCTCAACATGTCAGACATTCATTTCTAAGTGCTCCTTCCCTCAGGCAGTAGACCCCGTGTTCCAAGCCAAGATGCTGGACATGTTGAAGCAGACGGGTAGGTGGGCAGCAAACGAAGCACGGTTCTATCCCAAGAAGTGGCTCGACCTGCAGGCCGGAAATGGTGGTTGGCTGGTACCACTCTCACCCTGGCTTCGGGTGCTGGTTCTCCGGCACGGCCCGCACCTCGAGCATGTTTCACTTGGACAGATGTTGCATGTCGTGCAAGTTGGCCCAGGACATCAACACCCAGCAAAGCTTCGAGCAGTTGAACCCCAGGGCAGTGGGTGTGGTGGTGGATCCCATCCAATCCGTGAAGGGTAAGGTCGTGATCGACTGCTTCAGGCTTATCAACCATCAGATGCTAATGCTGGGGCAGGAGAAGCGGTACAACGTATACCGTATACATATTATACTATATGTATATACATATAATAACAAATACATAATGTATTTGTATGTATATATATATATATTGATTGTATGTAGTTGGTATAGATAGTTGTAGAGCAAGTGTACAATGACACTCGTCATTGTCATGGTCATACTTACGATAGTACAAGAAAACTAAAGAGCACGTTTCGTAAGACTGACAACCGTGACAAAAGCAATGCTGCTACCAATGGTAACGGCAATGGGCACAATACATATTGCTACATATGTACACGTGCATGCATGCATACATGCACACAAGTACATGTGATGTATGTATATGTGGTATGATATGATATGACGTATTCTAATGTATTCTGCAGTCCGAACAGGCATAAGACACCCCAATGAGCAATACATTCTAGCAGGAGTGGAAAAGATACGTTTGTTTGGCATGCATAGCAACAGCATAGAACAGAAGGCTTGTAATACAGAAAACGAGATATGTATCATTTGACATGTCTTCGTCAGTTTACAGCATATTGCACACAGCGCAACTGGCATGTCATTCCAATCAAATAGCATTCAACACTCTATAAAACAAGAACAGGTCTCAATCGCATGTAGAGGTATATATATATATATACATATATCTATATCATACAGTATGTATACACACATATCTCTAATATGTCTCGTTTATTGGAGGGCTGCAAGAGGTGTGCCGGCATAAACCGAATGTTCCATGCAATGCATAAAGATGATTTAAGTGCATAGTCTACATTACAATTTCTCTTTGCAAGTAGTGTAGAACCAGTTGTTGTATAACACACACCGTATACTGCGTAGGGCATAGTGCATGATATAGAAGATGTAATGTGGATTCCTTGAGAATCTGTATATATATATACACATGCACGCAATACATACAGATTTATGTATGTATATGCATATACATGTGAACCGTCCTCTAAGGTGATATGATATGGTGTACCAGGTTACTATGCAGCCCACTACCATTTCGTCACAAACAATAACACGGATATGTATACGCGTATATCTATATATATATATATGTACATATTTACATATGTATACGTATGGTATGTATACACATATCTGTGTATGTGTGTATATATATATATATATATATATATATTTGTTTTTATGCTCTATATAGCAATACTTTGTATGCGCATCTTTGTGTATATCTATATATACACATACTTGTATATACATATACACGCATTTGTCATATATTCATTCATGGATGCAAGTGCCGAAACATGTGTAATTGTTTGCAATAGATAATGTTACATTTTCCATATATACAGACGTGCGCACACCAAAAAAGTGGTTCATTATAGTCTATAGCGCACAAGGTAAAAATCCTGCACCTAGACTTTTCCTGTGTCTAGTATACCATGATCTGACAACACATTGTATGACATAGAGCACTTTAGTATAACACAATTCAGGTGTGTACATCTGGCATAGTATAACTGAATAGAACGTAGTGTAGCGAAGTACAGTATGGTATGATATGGCATAGTTTGGTGCAGTATTACATAGTTTGGCACAACAATGCAGTCTTCGGTTTATCTAACTTTAACATGTTTTGCTATAAACGAACATAATGTACCCGAATCCCCTTGCGAGAGTGTAATCAGAGATGTTGTAATCTGCAACAATATTAACATGATATGGAATAAGATAGGACATGCAGTCATAGAAAAGCATTACAAGTCACCATCATGTAATACAGCCACAGCAACATAACATAACATAGTATACTTTTGTTTTGCTTTGTTCGAATATGTTCTAACAAAAGGCGCAATATGCGGTAGTTGCATATGTCATATGACATAGCTTCAGTATTGCATATCGTCAAGGAATTTGAAACGAGATTCACAGGTTTAGACCAACATAGCATAGTATAACACAGTCTTCGACCAGCCATGTGGGAGCCAAAAAAACACAGCATAACACAAGCCACAATATCAGGAAACATGACACGACATGGTAGCATAGTAGCTTAGAATATTATAGCAGAATGTAACATCGTATCAGTACAGAGCCCGCGAGGAGCCCAGGCAGACGACATCCAACATTGGCCACCTGAACAAGCCAAGCATTACAGCTTTGATCCATGGTCTGAACCGCTTCTTTCTTGCAGCAAGAGAGTGGGGGTTTTGTTTTGCACGGCACAGCTTTGGTCCTGCAAGTATGGCAGGGCCAGATGGACAGGTTTCTGCACGTAGCGTGTGAGGCCACTACTACTCCATCGCAATCAACTACCGAAAAAACGATCTGGAGCAGAAGATGCTGCTAAACCTCGGAAAGAAGAAATGGCAGGATCGGTGGTTAAACAGGTGTCCTTGTTGGCGGTTTGGCTTGTGGCCCATCGCCAGGACGGGCTGAAGCTCACGAACTTCGACACGCACGAGGGTGATAATGAGAAGACGGTGGGGCGCACTACTTGTTGCCACATTGCTGCAAGTTTGCTTGCTGAAAGCTCTCGTGTTCAGGTGAAAGAGATGCTAGACCTCACTGAACCTTGGCGTGACTTTGGCGAGCCGTCACCGCCTGGATGTACTGTAAGATGTCCCTTCTTTGATCTCCTGCCACTTCCAAGGAGAAATACAACAAAGTGATTCAGGAAGAGTTCAAGAGCACCGAAGACGAGTTCGTCGTCAATCAGGCGAAGCCCATATTCGTATCATAGCGATTGTGTGATGTGCGCCCTGCGCCCGAGGCCGGCAAGATCGACGCCAAGAAGAGGCTTGAGCGTGACATTGAGGAGATCATGAACAACAATATCCTGTTACTCGGTTCTGCCAAGACTCCTGATGACGCAGTGCAGATGCACGAGTTGAACGCACAGACCACCTATAGTTCAGCAGACGCTGACGAATTTCAGCCGTAACGCGATGCACGGCACCATCCATTGGCAGTTTTTCATGTTGGTTCTAAGCCAATCTCTTTCTTTTTGGGACTCGCTTGGCTGAGGCAGTCCTTGGGGTGCATGTTGGCCACGGTGGTCTTCTGAGGCTAGTCATGATCCACTGGGTAGCAAAGCCTGACCAAGTGACTCGAAAGCATGTCGCTTGGAGCTGCGCATGCCTTGAAGCAGATGAAGCAACGTAGCAACAACCTGCGAGCAGGGTGCAATATTCGCCAGCTCGCGTCTAGCAGAAGACTTTGGCAGCAGAACGTGTACCAACAATATCAGTCTTGGTCAGCTTGTTGATCTCAGTTGTTAAACTGTTAGCGCGCAAGCTTACGTCGAGCCGTGCACCGACGGACCCGTACAGATCTCGCGGCCGAAAAGGCAGAGTGTCGAGCAGTCGCGTGCGTGTGTCTCTTGCAATTGACACTTTTGGGAATGTGGACTGTGATTCTGCCAGTTGGCGCAAGGCCCTGTGTCGGCAAGAACTGGAAGGAGCGGCGCTCGCTCCAAATCCACACGAGGCAAGCAGTGACACATACAATGGAAGTGGCGAAAACTGGAAGGCTTGCCGTGAACAACGACAGGAGAGTCAGGGGAGAGTAGCTCCAGGTGCTTGTTGACCGCGGTGTGTTCATGTTTTTGCCTTGGTGCTCAAGTTCTCGTCAAAGTTGCAGTGCTGCGCAAAGATAGCGCGGTTGTCGCAAGCGGTCGCCCTACTTGGAATTTATGACGGCAGCTCGCATGCAAAGCACAGACAGTCGCAATGCATGAAAGACTGACACCGCTTAAGTATCACCTCAGTTTGCTACTTTGTACAAGCCATCTTTTCTCGCCTGATAACGCTTACCCAACCCTCACCTTGTCAGGCTGTGTGTAGCAAGCCCTGGCTGGTCCCAGGTCACACTGGAAGAGTTGGAGAAGCGCCTTGCGGCCATTGAGAAGTCTTTGGAAGCCGACGGCGAAGGTGTCTTAGGGTGAGGATCAGAGCCTGCTTTCAAAAGGGTTTGGGGACCTTCACGATCATGCATATCATGACGTTCAATTGCCTGTAACATAGCAAATCCCAAATTTTCTCGATGAGTTTGTGTTACAAGCTCGAGGAATGTCGGACAATACCAAACTATGATACAGAGGAGGCTCCTACGCGTTTTGTCTCGTAGTTTAGTGTTCTGCTAGTACGTGTTACTATAGACTATAGACAACATGACATCATTCTAGCATGTTATAAGGGGTTGCACGTGTGACATGCGGCATAACCTCTTTTACAGCCCAGTGTTACCAAGGCCCTGAACAGTGCAGTTCACATTGGCTCCAGAACCCAGGGGAAGCCTTCACGAGACGTTGTCCTCTCTGCTCCATCTTTCCGTAGAGCCTTTTCAGCTGCAGGTGGCGTCCTTCCATCGCGCAAAACAGGTGGTGATGCTCAGATCATGAAGAGCCCCTGCCGCAGACATTGCTTCTGGCGAGCCAGCCAGGAAAGGTCAGCGAAGTTTTTGCGTAGGAGTCGGCTGAGCCGGCTGTCTGTGCGTAGTATTGTGTACTGCGACTCTCGGCTCTCTGATGCTCACAAGGAAGGTGGCGACGAGACTGCAGGACTTCGAGTCGCAAATCACAGCACAACTGGCGAACCTCCAAACGGCCACCTGGCCGTTTGGTCTATGTTTGCACTTTGCACCCGGGCGACTGACTTCGCAGTCTAAGGACTTTGACAAAAAGCTTTCTCATGTGAACCGCGGGGCTGCTGCCACGAAGCCAGTGGATGGTGCAGGCGGAGCTGCCGGACTGGATACCATGGCGGAGGACGCTGAAGCCATTCTCGACATACGGAGTGTGCAGCATCTACCTACTTCTGTATGCTTGCCCTGGAGATTCGCGATATGTCGTTGCTGTCGTTCACGTGCCAGGATCTAGACCAGCTGAAGTACGACGTCGGAGAGCTGAAGGATTTGCTGGGCAACAACAAAGGCGAAGTCAACCACATCCGCCGCATCGTACTGGCATGTGAGCGTGACATGGAGGCGGGACTACACAGAGCTGTTCGTACTAGCTGCTTCATGCCCTTGATTCGCCGCCGCCTGTTGCCAGGACTTCACTGCTGCAATGGATGCCGTCAATGTCGACCTCGACGAGATGCGGGCCCGTGTTGATGCCACACATTCCATCATCACCAGCAGGCAGCGTGTGGAGGCCCGCTTGCAAAAGCCCTCAGCTGTGCGAGGCAGACCACACGACAAGATCGCACTTGACCTGACCGCTATTCCCTGCAACGCAGGCCACGATGACAGCCGAGATCTCGACCATGCGCCTCGACATCGGTGATATTCAAGAAGCACTGAAGAACCACGACTCGTGGATGGAGGATGTCTCCAACACGCTCCAGCAGATGCAGGAGAAGGAAGAAAACTTGACCGAGGACATCATCAATCTCAAGAATGAGATGAACACCAAGTTGGACACGAAGGTGGACAATGTTGCCTGGAAGGACTGTCGTCCCTACTGCAATACTTCCAAGCATCTGCAAGCTAAGATTGTCAAACCATGCCTCTTGCCAGGAAGCCAACGATGATCTGGATGCTGCCATCAAGACTGTCCGCGACATGGTCTCGTCGCTTCGCCTGGACGTGGATGCCAGGCGCCGCAAGGTGGACGAGATCCTGGCAACCATCAGGCATGATATCACTGCTGTCGAGACCAACTTGGAGGAGCTTTGGGACAAGTCTTTGGCACGGAGCTGTCAGTGCCCATCATCACCCAGCTATCTGAAGATGTCTCTAGAACGTCAGACGGTCGATGATCGGCTAGCAGCGCGGGATTGGTCTCCGTGTCAGTGCGTTTCACACAGTCCATTTTGAGAGACAAGCTGAGGCCGAGTAGTGTTCCACGCGCAGGATTGAGGGGGTTGCCTGTTCACCGGTTGGAAGCGGTCTCTTTCTTTGAGGAGTCCAAGGCCAAGATCACGAGTGACACAGACCAGGCAGTCAACGCGCTTAATGGTCGAATTGCTGGAGCCTGAGCACTGAGCACCTCGCATGTGCCGCACATCCTCCGCATTTCGTAGCACGATTGTACAATCCCCATGACTTCCAAGGACTTCACGAACAAGGATTTGGCAGCCACGCAAGAGAGCCTGCACACGACGCAGAACTCTCTGAGCGACTGCTTCAACGAGGTGGCCGTGGTGCGCAGCGACCTGGAAAGAAACGTGGCCGACACAGAAGCCCGATTGAAGAACGATATTCGCCAGAAGCAGCATCTCGGACACCGTTTTGCTCCCTCTCTGGAGGTGAACTCATGTAGGAGATGCCAGCCTAAACAGAGCGCAGGTGAGATGCACGAAGCTGTCTGTCTCGACTAAGGCAGGAGGCCTTCGAGAAGATCGGTGCAGTGGAACAGCAGGCAGGGCTCGGGTTCTTGGAGCGTGCGGACCGTGGGCTGTGTGCCCACTCTTTTGAGGCGGAGCTCCGGAGCGCGGAAGCCTCCCGGCGCCTGGGAGCCTTGGATCTCCGCATGAGTGGGGTGCAGGGAGGACTGGGAGAGCACAAGCGCGACATCCTCAAGCTGCGGGAGGCCGGCGGCTTCCCAAGCCTAGAAGCAAACCAGGCAACTCTGATGAAAGTACGTTTGCTCGAGGAGGTGAATGGGCTCACCGTGAAGAGTGCTTCCCACGAAGTGGACATTCAAAAGAACAGTGACGCGACCCGAAAGATGGAGAAGCAGCGCAGCTTGGCTTTCGTCTTCTCCCTTGCATCCATGCATGGTGTGTCTTCTGCCAGAGTCTGACCTGTGAAGGAAACATGGATGAGCAGAACTGGAAAGCACAAATGGATGCGGACTCTCAGCCTGCAGTAGGAGTACAGAAGGCAGTTGACAGTAGGTAATCGCCCTCTCCCTGCCAACATCTGTCCTGATGAGGTACATGATGTCTTGGACACGAAGGCGGGCAGATCATGGCTTCCGTCTCGTGTCTCGTGAACTCGGAGGGAGTTATGTCGCAACGTAGCCTTGGAAGCCTTAGAAGGCTGTGGGAAGAAGCCGTTTCGAACACTCGCCCTACTCCAGGTGAACGAGAAGCCTTTTGAGGATTTGAAGCATTGCACGGCTGCGCTGACTCGTGGTGTGGTGAAGTTTGCCCAGGACGGGTCCCTAGCTTTGGGAGGTCACCAGGTGGAGGCAAAGGGACTCCGAGTCTCCCAGTGGCCGAGCGGCCCAGGTGGTTGGAGTCTTCCCCGGCCCCAAGTTCGATGATGCAGAAGGTGCTGACCAAGGTGAAGCCGATGTTGAGCTCTTGGGCTGGGAGGCTGGCGGCTGATATGTCATGCTGTGTGCAGTCCCTTTGAGGGCTGGCACTTCTCGTTCACCGCCACCTTCCCGTAAATGAAACCTCTTAAGTACTCTTCTGCAGAACGGGACCTGCGGGGCTTGGAGAAGACAAGGGCAAAAGGGGAGTGCTCTTCGAACAAATGATCTGCGACCCTGACGAAGAAGCGTGATGGCGCATGAGCGGCCCACAGCCACCCTGCTGGAGGAGTGCGCCGAGAACATGTCCTTCCGTGTCGACAAAGCATGGCGCCAACGCTGTTCCCAACGTTTCCGTAACATCTTGGTGGCTTCCTTAGCCATGCACTGCGCTGAAATTTCTGAGAGTGCTGCCGCTCCATCGTCTGTGTTTCATGGAGTGACAAGGTTCTGATGCATGAACGGCACCGTATATGTCAATGTCATTTATGTCAATATACTGTTGTCAGGATATGGTTGCAAAGAAGGCTGACCACAGCGTTCTTCGTCTCTTGCAGATTTCACAGCAGCACATTGAGTCACAGCTGGAGCGCGTGAAGCACGAGCGTGAGCTGCGTGGCTGCGATTGCGACAGGCGGCACACGTGTGGGCGCAGTTTTTAGCCATGCGCAATTCGTGAAGGCTTTGGAAGGAAGTGGTGGAGCGTCGACAGCAGCAACCGTTGCAGCTGGCTCTCTCAATGAAGGATGCGATACTGCCGTGGACACTTCTGACTGTTTCATGCTGTCAGGCAGATCATGTACAGCTTTTTGGGTGAGATTGAACATCTGGTAAAGAAGCGGGCAATGTAGGGGACGGCAGGAGCAACCACAGGCTGGCACATCGTAGATGTCTGGAGCTATGAGGCAGGACAGCTCCCTGCCAGTTGCATGTATCACACACAGAGTGTCAATCACTATCCACCGATGTCACCCGCAGGATCTGCAGGATCTCCCGTCTGATTCAGACTGCATGAAGCCGACTCGGTCTATGAAGACTCATCGTGTAGAATAGCTGTATCAGAGCAGCAAGGTGGAGCTACCGGAAACTAAAAGTTAACAATTCCAGAATGAGTTGTCGGGCAGGTTCTCGAGCAGTTGCAGTAGAATGCGTAACGACTGGTCAGTTTCACTTTGGACCGACTAGCTCCATGACGCTGAACGGACCTTGCTACAGGCTGTGAACTTTGCGTTGCCTCCTTGCATTCAACTTTACTTGTCCCTGGTGCTGCGGGATGCAAATAGCTCCCACGGCTGTACAGAAGTACTTGCCCTCCCGACTCGCTGTGCTATGGCTTGCTAACATGGCATGTGCCAATGCTGGTTGAAAATGCAACCCCTGCAGATACATGTAGGTCGCGGTGTCGACAGCCAGTCCCTAGAAAGAACTACCAGATGGACCAAAAGCCGGTCAACTCCGCAGGCAGGCAAGTTTGGCGGCCTTGCGCTGCTGCGGTCTGGAGACGTGCGGAGACCAAGACACAGGAAGCTTCTTTTGATCCTCCGTAGCTGGCGCCCGCACCCTTTCAAGGTATTCTTGGAACGGCTGGGCATCACTCGCACCTACAACGAGGCAGGCGGCAGGATCATGCCGTTCCTTTGCAAGAGTCGCTGTCCGAGGCTATGTCACGCCTGCTTTGTCTTCTTCTGATACATCTGGTGCTGGCTGCATTGCTTCTGGCAGTGATCTTAGTCCTGCCATGCATCCCGTGTTGGTGTGCGCGGTTTAAGGGCTGTTGTTGAAGCTTGAGGCCTACTGCCAACCGCGGTTCAGCCGAGCCAAGCGCCCACCTTGGCAAACCAAGGAACCGTTTGCCTCAATTTGTCTTTACCTTCGGAGTGCAGTATGATTGGCCTGACGTGTTCATATTTTTTCTATTCGCGGAACAATCGCTTGCTGAGACCACGGCGAAGCGTTTCCACACAGGCTGATGATGTGTAGACGAGCTGATCACGTTGGCCACATCTTCCACCGTTGACCGTTTGCTAGAGATTCCTCAGAATGCCCTACTTCTGTTTCGCTCGCCGACCGTGCTGGAAGCATTGACGTCGCGGTATGTCACGGTACAATGCCCCGAGCTGATGCTGTTGCCGAGCGCAAGGGTGGCGCAAAACAGGTTTGCACATCCGAGGTATGCTGGCAGACCTCTGACGCCTAAATGCGCCCGGGCAGGTAAGGTAAAGATCGGATGATGGGTGCAGCGGCCCAGCAGCGCGGGAGTATTGAGCAAAGGTTTAGTTGGGACGTAAGATAGCAAGTCTGGCAGGTCTTGATGATTCGCCAGACAGATGTAGGTCATGCAACTTTGCGGTTTGTTGGTCGTTTCGCTGCCGCATTTGCTCTATTTTGCCGTCATCCGTCCCTCACCCTTCCCTTTCGCCTCTCTCCTTCGTCTGTGACACTCCCTCTCCATCCTTTCCTGACCTGTTCCGCATCTGTCCTTCTGTTTCGTTGGCCCTTCATGGCCCCCTTCCGTTTCCCCTCCTCTTCTGCCCATTGCATGTAAGGCCGAGACCTGGACACGGAACTCCAGTGGCGCAGCTGCAGCCCTGAAAGCCCCGGCTGAGAGGAAAACGGCTCGAAGCCTTTGTGAGCCTGCGCTCGCGGAGCAGCAGTATAGCCACCAGACTGTTATTGTCCTGTCTAGTGTACTAAAACCATTGTGACTTTATTGTCTTTTGTTATCATCATCATTTTAATCGGTATTGCCATTGTCGGTATAGGTATTACCGCCGTTCGAACGGCCGGTGTTAGTGGCAGTGTTACTAGGATTGTCATTATTGGCATTATTGCTACGCGTGTTGTAGCTATGCTATTACTATTGTTGCCGTTCTTGTCATCATCACCATTCAGCATTACCAGAAGTATTACCATTCCTGTCCTTGTCATCATTATGTTCTGGATGATTTGTTTTATCCTTGTTACTGCAACTGTTATCACGTTGACTTGTATCCTTATTCTTCTGTTTCTTACTAAACCCTGACCTCATGAAGCCGTGCCTGCCTGCGTGTGAGTGTGCGAGCCGAAATCCTGAACCGGCGAGACACTATCGCCAGGTCTAAGCTTCGCATAGCCAGGCCCCCGGCAGCCGGAGTTTGCAAGTGGGATTCGGGTTTTGAGAGTCTCATAGGTCTCTATGGGGTTTAGCGGTTTAGGGGTTTTGGGGTTACAGAGTCTAGTGGACGGAGTTATATTAGGTATGTATATGTATATATATATATATATACACATAGTGTTCTATTTGTGCGAGGGACTAGACCATACCCCATTTTGGGCTGATGCTTTTGGGCTCATGTTTTGGGCTGATACTTGTAGGGTTTACATGGCTATTCTGGTGCTGTGGCATTTGAGCTGTGACTGGAGATGGGGCGGTCGGCGGAGGGGGTTGGTCATCTCTCTGACTCTACCTTTCAAGACCCGCCGCTCATTCCTACCATGAATCATTATATTCCACTGTCATGAAAGTCAGCAGGATTACTCGTATTATCATGATTATTGTCATGATTACCAGCATTGCTGCTACTGGTACTACTGTACAAGAGCGGGCACTCGGGCTGGGATGCTGAGGTCTCCGCCGTAACAGTGATGTTTTACCTCGTCCAAGTCTCAGCGCGTGTGAGGGCCATGCAAGGCCCATGTCAGCTTGCGGTGTCTCAGTTCTCGAACACCTATTCCCTTGTCTACGAAGACTTGGACCAGATCCTCCACTCGCAGGAGCCTAAGATCTTCGGATCTTTGGCCTGCTCCGCTGTTGCTGACTCGGATCGGAGGCGTGAAAGCCAACATTTCCTCCTGAGCCAAGAGGCGGTCAACATCATCAATGCTTGCTGCAGGGACCCGAGCCTTCATCATCATCGATGGCTGGACCCACTCGTTGCAAAAACCACCATTCCACCTCCGCATGCCCTCAGATCACCAGTGGACCGGCAAGAACGACGTTGGCGTTGCCAGCTGAGAGTGCTTACTTGTGTTCTGGATCGGCCCAAGCTGAGTGAAGCGCAGCCTGCACCAAAACCCAGACTTGCACAGCTGAGGTCACTGGGCAAGACATGATCTGCTGCCTTGAGCTCGCTGCCCTTCTTGCATGGGCCTTAATTAGACCCAAAAGCGATTATTTGTGCAGAAGGGCCACTGCCAAGGCTCTTTGGTGCAGGTTTTTATGCCCACCACCCAGTTCACCAAAGCCGTCAGAGCTGGGAGGGCCACACGGCGTTTGCCATTCCAGGGCTGCTTTACACCGTTGGCATTGATGGGCCCTCAGTGCAGGTTGAAGACAAGCCTTGGGTGATCTCGGGCACACGCTCCTGTACGCCAAGGCCAGCAACCGCAGTGGAAGGAAGTGGCTGTCAGTCCAAGCAGCGCCCCTCACTTGGAAATCTGTGCCACGGCTCCCCCCCTGAGTTCTCCCAGAATGTCTCAGGGTGTGGGAGACATTACCGGAGCTGTGCTCTTTCAGTGCGAGAGCCTTAGAGTGCGGCTTGGTCTCAAGTGCGAGCACTGGCTCTGTCAGTTTTTGGGTTCTCCAGAATGGCAGCCAGCCACACTGCATGAAGGCCATGCGAGCCTTGCACTTTGTCACCCCGGCCATCATCATGTCCGATGCAACTCAGAAAAGGCGCCTTGGCTTTGAAGAAAACATTCCGTTTTCGGGACTGCCTCTCACCATGTTCTGAGGGCAGCTCTTGCAGAGCATCGCTGACCTTCTTTGACTGCCAGTTGGGCATGGGCAGAACTGTGCTTGGCAAGTCTTGTGGCTTCAAGTTCAATGCCAGGGAAAGTGTGTGGACGAGGACGGTGGAGTGGCCTGGGCCCAAACATGCCTCGACGCCTGGCGCGTCCACATGCAGAGGTACCTGGCGTGTCGTGACTGTAGAAATAACAGTAATGCGACAGCCTGGAGATGTGCGCAGACTCCAGGAACACTTCGGGAAGGGCTTTCCGCTTGGCACACCTCGTCGTAATGCCCTCTTTGAATATCCTTGCACACAGCTTCGGACGCCACAGCCCCATCCATGCACCAAAGCCGAGAATGTGACACCCTCGGAATCGAAAGATGCAGTGCCGAAGACAAGAGCTTTCCATGGCGAGAGGTCTACATCGAATTGAATCTGAAAGATCAGACAACTCTGTCACAGTCGAAGAGTGCAGAACAAGCAGCATCAGCTCTAGGTCCCGGGTCCTAGTCTAGGAATTAATCTGAGGGTGTGGTTCGTCCTGTCCCGCATTGCGATCCTCCTCTTCGGCCTTGACGCACTGATGCTGAAGCCGGGCGCCAGCGAAATCTCAGCTGTAGCAGCTGCCACAGATCCGGTGCTCACAGCTCAGCAGCTCAGGTGTCGGGAGAACCAGCCTTGGTTCGAGGGGTGCCCTGGCAAAACTCTCCTATACACTCAGGGCAAATTTCGCAGGGGTCTGGCAGTTGTTTGCAGAGCTATGTCTCTCTCTACCTTGTGAGCCCTTCTTGAGGTCAAGACCGTGTGTCTTGCGTGCTTTGATTCGTCTTGTTGTGTTCCCGGGTACCGACATAGCGAACGGACAGTCTCCTGAAGCAAAAGTAAACAATGTGAGTCAAGCCGCCAGCCACTGCTTTACCGGTCTGTACGGAACCGGGGAAGGAGTCTGCGGGGTGGGAGAGGCCAGGTGCGAGTGGCCGGTCTTGTTGCGGGACACCATACACAAAGAACGGCCAAGCTCTCAAATGGCTTAAGCATGGCTTCGGTCCGGTGACGTTGGGGGCTCCCGCTCCGAACAGGGATGAGACACCGAAGCCGGCAGGTGCCCGATCACTGTTGCTTAGGAAGTGACGCACCATCAGCTAAGAGCCCCGAGCAACAGAACTCCCAGACTTCAAACTTCAGCAGTCTTTGCTTGGCAGCGCAGACGTGTGCCGCCTGGCTTGTCCGAGTTGTAAGAGTCGAAGCGTGTGAAAGTCTTTCTGCAGGAGCATCAGCCTGTACAAGTGCTGGCTGCGGACAGCTCAGTCGTCGAAGTAGGACTGCACTGGTCTTTTCTGCAAGCTCAGGAAGGAACACAGTGTAATGCGATCCCGAATCTCAATGGTGGTACGTAGTAACGTAGTATCTTGCTGCTTTACATATGGCTGCTTGCATGATCGCCACCATGAGCAAAATTATCGTTGTTGCACCTGTTCGACTACTGGTTGCGACATCATTCGGGCTACTATTATGACTATTATTATTACTACTCTTAGTAGCAGTAGCAGTAGGGAGCAATCAAGAGCAGTAGTAGCAGCAGCAGTAGTAGAAGTAGCAGCGGCAGTAGCTGGCAGTCGCAGTAGGGGTAGGAGTAGGAGTAGGCACTGCTCTACCGAAGCCCCTACAATATTTACAGCCTATATGACCTTTAGGGTGAGCGGCGGCAGAGAAACCCCATGCTTCCGCAGCTTGCAAAGTGTGTGCACTGTATTTCTCATCTTGTTGCATGTTCCGAGGCTAGCGATTTTTGTCAAACAGATCTTGGGCATCGTTGGAGCCTTGGACGGAAAACGAAGGAGTCCAATCTTCGCCAGAGCATCGGCAATAGACCGCCTGCTGCTGGACTCCATTTTAATGTGCTCACCTTGCCTCACCGAGTTAAGCAACTTCAGGTTCAGCTTGGCATGTTTGTGAGGGAGCGCCTCTTCATATTTGTTTTCGGTGGCCATGGACTCAGTCTGTTGTGCGTGGAGCATGGTTTGACTCGCAGAACAAAACCCTTACGAAGAAAACGCCGAGGTGAAGACAGTCAAATGCAACCAGAAGAAATTGCCCGGAAGGCTTTAGATTTCTGAAGGGCAGTCCTCGTTCCGGCTGCAGCTGCCTGCCGAGTTTCGCAGCATGCACATGTGCATGCCAGCTGCCATGAAGAGAGTCATTGACACAATTGTTGAACATTGTCACAAGGCGACAGGTGCACAGTATACAGTCTAGTATAGCCGCCGATGCCAGCTTAGCTAAGTGCCCATCACCTACACAAATCCAGAGACGTGATCCAGCTCATCTCTACCAAGAAGCTTGTTGTTCTTGTGCCATGTGAGCTCAGTCGCTGCTTCTCGCCATGTCCGGTGCCGGCGCCTGTCCAAAGAGCCTGGTGGAAGCCTATGGCAGGGATGTTGCGACATCGATGGACAAGACCGCGGAGCGACGAAAAGGCACCAAGAAATCGAAGCACAGTCCTTGAGAGGCAAAGTATAATCCTTTTTCCTTTTCCTTCCCTTCATCATCATAGGAATGCGTCACCGGATTTTGTTGATTGTCCTTGTCGCCGGCACTGAGGAGTATCGGACGAGGAGCATCTCATCTCAATGCTCGAACGCTTGTCCTTGGAGCTGAGCACGTCGCGAGGGACGCACAGCGGTCGTTGCCCATTCTGCAACTGCTGCAAGAAGTACGTGGCTCGGCAGCGGTCAAAGTCCAAGGATAAGGTCGGCTCGAAGGGTCGCTCCAAATCTTGTGGCGGGCTCGTCGACCGAGAACGCGCAGAGCTTCCTGTCGATCATCGACCCAAAATGCGCGACCCGGAGCCTCTCCCAAGCAAAGTGCCAAAGCCGGGCAAAGAGAAACGGTCGGGGGCAGACGGTCAGAAGCCACAGGGCAGACCCCGACTTCGGCGCAGAGGGCTCGGTGGTCTTGAAGATCCTTCGGTCGCACCGAGTTGGGCGAGTGTTTAGCTGCCATTGTCACAAAGGATGGAACATCTCGTGCCTGGATATGCATGGTGACTCAGGGTCTCACGTGACAGGGCACAGTGTGACCAAGGACAAGACTCCAAGCCCGCGACCCCCTCGTGCAAGAAGTGCCGGACGAGCTCCGATGATCAACACTGCGCCACAGCTAAGTGTGGAGGCACGGTCCAGGACATTCGTCAGCTGTTCTGATTCTCCTAAAGCTTGTTCATCATGGAGCCTTTGGGTAGACATGCGCTCTCGAGTCATTTGTGTGTGTGTGTCACATAAAAAGAACAGCTTCGAGCAGGAGAAGGGCCACCTCAGCTAGCAGACTCTCCGCCCAGAGGCCAGGCCCTGTGCTAGTTCTTACGAGTTTCGTGACCCGTCATGCCTTGCAGGGCGCCGGTCCGGGCATCATCAGAGAGTCGATTGCGTGGTCCATCTGCGGCAGAGGGCGTGGCTGACAGTGTAAGAGGTTCTAAAGGACGGAGAGCTCCACGAAATTTGCTCGCGGAGCTGTACCGTCCCAATCAAGACACTCACGAGATGCAGAGACGGCGGGGTGTGATTGCTCAGCAAGAGCCTTCTACTTTGCCAGACTCAGCCGCGAGGGCTCCCAGGTTCGGTTACCAGGAAGCTGCACCATTCTGGGAGCCAGTGACTGCTGAGCCCACAACTCAGGGTGCTGCAAGGTTCAACGGAGGCTTTGCACCACCTCCACGGATTCATGTTCCGACACTGCAGACGGCCGGCAATCGTTCACCAGCCAGGGTGCACCAGGCACATCTGCCTCTCACAGCCATACTACACCAAATTCTCAAAGAACTATCTAGCGGATGTTTGCAGGCATGTCGTAGCTGCAATCGTTTCACGTCTGCCCGTCTTGTCGCTGTGCACAGGACTTGGACACGCATCTTCAGCCGGAGAGACGAAGCTTTGAGGGTGCTTCGCCTGGGGAGATCATATATGGTCCCAGTGAAAGCCCAGGCCCACTAAACAAATCTCCAAACCTTTTCCTCCAGCCGCCTCTGGACTCTAGCCCCATGCTCGTCTCTTGGGATGCAGGCCAGCTGGACCCAAATTGCCGCGGCTGCGGAAGCTCCTACACAGAGGACTCCATCTTCTGCCGCCATTGTGGCAGCAAGCGGGCACAGACTCGGACTGGGCACTTGGAGGTCCTTCGGCTGCAAATTCCTCAAAGCTTCCTAATGTCTTTTTCACAGGCTTCACCAAGAAAGCTGCTGCACCCCCCCCTGAAGCAGTCGAGTGCATTTTCCATCCATTTCCGACCTGACCAGTCTCGGCAGGCCGAACCGACAACAAGAAGCCGAGTCCCCAATCTGTACACGAACCGGTCCAGGGTCGGGTCCTGTGTCTGCTCCACTTATGGACGGCGCACAGGATTTCATGTGCAGAATACGGTCTTGCGCACCGGGCTACCAAGCTCCAAATGGATCGCAACCGGAACTGCAACCTGAATACAAGACCCACGATGGCCTGTGCATTCCGCAAATCCAAACAACCAACCGTGCGAGCAGTTCTTTCTCAGCATCTGTCCAGCCTGCAATCTACTCGTACGAAGATATGCGGCCCGGCTTGCTGCATACACCACTCGTTTTGCTTTTCTTGAGGTAGCCCGGGTGCTTGCCCAGGCGTCATCTCCGAAGGCGGATGATCTGGACCTGGACAACGCAACCCGACAGCTGGAGCAGTTGGTGGAGGACTTTCTCTCTGTGCTAGCAACGACTGTCACCCGATAATTCTTGGGGGAGTGGCAGACTCGATACGCACAGCCCCGAGCAACCACCAGACGAGGAGTGAGCATGTAAGCATGCCTATGAAATCGCACAGGTTACGAAGACCTTGAAGCACTACCTTCACCGAAAAAACTGGTATGCCGCGACACTCATATTAATTTCCACGTACTTTCCACCGGAGCGACCCCTAGCATTCTTGCTAATTCAAACAGATCTCCAACGTTCACGAGCCTATGCTCCCCGGCTGCCCGCAAGGAGACACATCGGGCCCTGCGAGCGGGCACCCACCAACAGGATGCATCGCTGAGCGAGGGCTCCCAGGCCACATGCCCAGCGCTACAGTAGCTTCATGATGCTCTTCCTGGTATGTTCTGTGCTCAGGCAGCCCCTTCCTTGGATGCGGTGGACCGGGCATTGGAAGAGCTTCAGAGAGGTCTTCTCGAGATCGACACTGTGTTGGCGAAGCCCATCCCTGAAGCCAGCCCTTGAAAGCACAGGCATCTAAGGCCTTGCCAAGGCGACATCACCTGGTGTCCATTCTTTTTTTGGTCGCTTGCCAGTGTGTTGGCATTCATCCAAGCTTTGATTCAATCTTTCAGGGTTCCAGGGTTCTGAGCAAGTGGCCAACGGCCGACGGTCAGTGAAATGAATGGTAGCGGCTCGCCTCTCTGTCAAGGATTTAAGAGCGTCTTATGTAATCTCGTTGCCATTATGTTGCTGCACATACCGTGCCGCTATGGTGCTCAATTAACTTGCAACCTTTTGCGTGCGCATCCGAACGCGGAATTTTGACATCAGGCTACCCGCCATGTTTGCAATCGAGAACTCACCAGACTTTCTCCATTTACAATCACTGATTGCCAACGTGCGCGGAGGAGCAGGGAGGGCTCTTTCCCCGCCCCAGTTGCTGAATGTAGCATGGACTTGCCCACAAGAAGTTCAATTTGGCAGAGTCCTTTTGTTTAAGCCAACCGTACCAGTAGAGGCTTTCATGCCTCGTGGACAGGACCGTAGCAGATTCGCTGAATAATCTAGGCGTCATTCACCATCAGTTTTTCAATTTACTCCTGCACTTGGTAGTGAATATGCGTCGGTGATCGGCTGCAGGCATGGTCCACCTGTACACGCAGTTACTCGTCTCACAAACCAGTGGGCGCCTTGTTGCGCAAGTTTGCCGGCAAGGCAATTTGCCAGCAAGGGTGTATTTATGGTTCTCATGAGCTAAAACAACTCTGGCGAGCATGTTCTTCCGAACGCATGGCTGGGAATGCTCTCGTCTTGCCGAATCCGAAGCAACAGCCCCATCTCAGGCGGTGGGTGGTGCTTGCCCGTGAATGCCAATGCTGCCAGCCGTTTCCGAAGCTCGTTCAGAAAGCATAGCCAATAAGTATGCCTCGGTCTCCATGGGTTGAGCCTCGAGCTATGAAGTGGTCGGCAGGGTTGAGACATGTCATATCGTATCGCAAAACGCAAAGCTAAGAGCGCTTTCACGGAAGATGACCCATGGCCGCTTCCAAGCGCCCTCTTCGCAGATCTTACGTTCAAGATGCATCGGATGCATCTCCTTCCAAGGTGCTGCGCAAAAGCGACTGGGCACACGGCATCTGCCTCTTCGTAGTTCCCCTAGGCTCCGCCACAACTTCCAGGCGCACGATATGGGAAAGGGAAGTTACAGCAGCTGGTGGCTGTCTGGCGAAGTCCCCGTCGTCGGCCACCCACCTAGTAATCACTCCAGAAGTCACTGCCGTTCGCCTTGGGGCATGGGCAAGCAAAACTATGCAAGGCAAGGGCGAAGGTGACAGCAAAGATCCTTTGTCTGTTCTACGTGCTTTTGCCGAGTCTCTGGAGTCAATCTGGGTTTACAGCGATTGGCTGGTCACTTGCCTGGCCAAGCAGAGTCGTGTCTCAGAAGAATCTTTCACCTGGTCCCGACATGCATCGGAGCATGGGGAACATGGTCACGATACGATTTCCGTTGTTCAGGAATGTAGCGTTGTAGATTCAACCCAGCCCACCGTGGGCAAGCCACTTGCGGGGCTTGGGTCTGCGCCTTTGCTGGCGCGAAGTCCGGCACCTACACAGAGGGAATCTGATTCGGAAGTTGAAGAGGTTCTTCCCAAACTTGGAGCCTTTGGCGGAGAGATGACTCCAAAGCGGGCCTACTTGATCCGCAACCGTGACAAGTTTGCGTGCCAGCGTGGTGGGGAGACTTCGCCTGAAAAAGGCGCGGCTGGCTCTCCACCGAAGCCCCGCAACGCCGAGCTCGTGGCCATGTTCGGCCGCCTGCAGCAGCATTACGAGTCATTGGGCGATGGATGGCGTGAAAGATCTTACCGACTGACAGCAAGCATTCTGCGCAGCCTGTCCTTCGAGGTGGGATCGGAAGCAGACCTTGATCGACCGGAGCTGAAGCGACTAGGCAGGAAGACACGCGACAAACTGAAAGAATTTCTTCAGACGGGAAGCATCGGAAGAGTGGAAGGCTTGCAGACGGACGAGGTCGCAAAGGCCTTAGGAGAATTGCAAGGTATCTGGGGTGTGGGTCTGACAACTGCGAGGAGGTGGCTTGGGTCTGGCTGCCGGACTATCTCCGATGTAAGGCAGCGCGTTCAGGACGGATCGCTTCGGCTGACTACCGACCAGACGCTCCCGGGCCGATGTTAGCAATCAGTTTGTATCGTTAATCATAGTGCGTAGTATTAATAGTAATAGTCATAAACATAGTAGAAATAATGCGAACTACATGAATTTTTACACTGCGCCTGTTGGGAGCTAGGAGCCTTGAGCTCCGGCAGCATACTACATCGTGTAGACTCTAAGGCTTCCAGCTTGCGGCATAGATGTCAGGGTATTCTGAGCCCTTGCAATGAAAAGCTGCTGTTAACAAAATTCTCGAAGCCGCGTGATTGGAAGGGATCCCTGTCCCTGTGCTTGTGACCAGGCCCAGAAATCCTGCCCACTTTTGCCAGTGCTGATCTACAATTCCAGGGCCTTTGCCTGTTTCAAAGGCATCAGGGTATCCTTCACCACTTGAGCCACACACGCATACGCACAACGAAGTTCCCAAGGTGCATGTCATCAGGCTGCCGGGGCCCTGCTCAGGTCCGCATCTTGCACAGGTACAGTGCCGATCTACAGGCACTCATAATGCATCCGGTTGACCCTGGCATATGGAATCGCTGTGGCACAGTAGTTAAAGCAAGGCCGCCCCTGTATTCGAGGAGTTACCTTGAGTAATTACCACCCTCCCAGGATCGGTCTGCACTTCTTTGAAGAGTTCTCCGAGCGCATTCCTCGGACAGAGGTGGAGGAAATCGTTGCAGTTGTTCAAGCAGCTGTCAGTCAGCGATTTGGTGGCCATATGCGCATGGAAGCTTGCGGATCTTTCCGGCGCGGGAAGACAAGCTGTGGAGATGTTGATCTTCTGCTTTGTGCTCGGAGTGCTAGAGACGAGCTTTCCCTGGGCTCGATGCATGATATCTTGGCAGGTCTCGTGGCAGATCTGCGAGGTCAGGGCTTCATTACCCACGATCTGAAAGGTGGAAATCCAAACCATGGCCGCCAAACCGGCAATGGCCAGGATGCTAACGAGGGCGAAGAGCTGCGAAGCTCTTCTGCTGCAACCTATTTTGGAGTTTGCCGGTTGCCTCGTGCCGGAAGCCTACACCGAAGAATTGACATCAAAGTGTATCCTGTGCTGGAATTTCCGTTTGCCCTGCTGTCCTTCACAGGGTCTGGCCCCTTTAACCGGTCCATGAGATTATTTGCGCGAAGAGCGGGGTTCAGCTTGTCAGATCACAGTATCTGCCGGGCAACACATGCTCGAGGAGCTGGTCGTGGTGAGCGTATTTGGACCGGACCTCCTATTGCAGCCGCTCGCTTCGCGTCAGAGGGCGATATTTTCGAGTTTCTTGGACTTGCATACCGAGAGCCGTGGCAGCGTGAGGTGGACGCCTCGTGGCTAGCCGAAACTGGCACTGATAAGACAGCAGGAAACGAGACCATACATCAGTCTTCCCAAGTCTCACTGTCGCCCCCGACACCAGTCGAGGAGCGGGAACGTGCAAAGCAGGGCTTCTCAGCAGAGGTGCAAAGCCTCCTAGACTCGGATGAAGAACCTTTCTGCACCGAGGAAAACGCCTTCAGATGGCTCCTTCACGTGTTGACAAGCTACCTGAGGGCATGCGCATGTCTTTTTGTTAACCACTCTGACAGAGCTTGCGATGCAGGAAATCTGGAACTCCCTGCTGGCCATGAAGATTTTCGACAGATTCGGCCTGTGGAGATCGATCGCCTTGCACCTACCATAGAAGCCATGTCAATTTATTGGACGAGTGACCATCGCTTGTCCAAGTAGGATTCACAGAAAAAGCTTATTCATATCTCCAAGCTGCAACTGTGGAGATGCTTACCTACACGCCAGGCGTTTGCCCGCATGTGATCCCCGGTTGCATGTGCCCATGCAGCAACCGCAACCACATCTCATGTACTTCAAATTCCGGACTGCCTCTCAACTCCCGCAATGGCTTCACATTGGGCCAGTCTCCCAAGAAGCTCTCGGAGGGAGCACCTCCAGCGCCAGTGACGCTGGAACCGGATCGTCTCGAGAAAGTGCCGCACAAAACTACACGTTGTTCGGCAGGTCAACGGTGGGAGCCAACCCTGGGATACAAGTGGATGCGCCATGTCGAAACTGAAAGTGCGGTTGGCAGGAGGTGCCGGAGTGGTTGCTGGGACAGGCGCTCTGAGCCTCCCAACCAACACAGATGCGCAGCTGGGCGGGTGGCAAAACAGATTCGGCTCAGAAGAAGGCTGGCTCGTGAGGGCAACTGTCGACCCTCCCCTTACTATCGTTGCAGTCTTGCTCTCCAGGAAGCCGCGTCCTTGTTGAGTGTGGTCTTTCGCAGCTGGACTTGCTAAACAGGGCAGCGTCTCGCGTGCATGCACCGAGCCGACACAACAGGGGTTTCAGCTCTGCACCTGTGATCAAGCTGCCGCTGAAGGCTGTCATGCTCAGCTTCGACGACACGGACATGCGAATTCTGGAAGCAGCTGTGTTCACAAAAGTCTGTGTGAATACAAGGTGGATCAAGGTGGGTTTGTACACGAGCATTACTTTGCATTATGTAGGCATGCATGATTCACGATCATGCGTTTATGAGTTAGGTTGTTCTCCGTGAATGTTTGCTTGTGTTGCGGGTGTATTCGGGGGTATGCTTTAACGGCATAGGCACACTTGTGTAGAAATATCTGTGCTCCATATGTATGTATATATATATATACTAATATGTGTGCGTGTGTTTAAATATGTACACAGATCAACGGTGATAAGCGCACGTGTGTAGAATGACTTTGTGACGAGGAGTAATCTACTCAAGTTGATCGAGCATACATTGTATTACGATAGTGCGTTATGTGATGGTATCACGCTGTGGTCCCATGTTCACGACCCACTCGTGCATGGATTTCCGTGCTTGGCCTCAAGCTACAGACAGCATGTCACTGCCACACACACACACACACACACACATTCGTGTCAAAACCACTCCTGTACCCATTTCGCCGAGGTGCAGCTAGCATGTCCATGCCACACAGATTTTCGTGTCAAAAGACTTGTTTATATACAAGATGTGGAGCTTGCAACAGGCACATCAGTTCTGCACACATAGTTCACAGCATGCTCATGAACCAACATGCCAACACGTGAACACAACACTACACTAAGCAGTGGCATCCTGACAATCTCGATAAAGCGGTAGCTCGAGGCCGTAGAGGCAAGCTTACAAAGGATTATGCCATCGTGCAGAAAATACCATGTGACAACGCCGATTTTTAGAGATGCGGAGTCAGTCATCACAAACTAGAGAGGGCGAAACTAATGCATCACTTCGGTGATGCCACAAAGCTAAAAGGGGGTGCGAGATACGACTTTGAAGAAATTAATACAGCATAGAAACAGTTTAATGCATGCATACTGCTACGGCAAACCAGAACGTATCAATAAGACGATGAAAACTTGTTCACAGGAACGTCGTGCTTTCATAAGCTCATAACCCACACACGGAAGAAGTATGATGTTCTCGCCGGCTTCTAGCATTGAGGTGGAACGGTTGCGGTGGTTTGCTATCATGATTTAGTATTGTTGGTTCCGCCTTACTGCACGCGCTTGCAGTGGTGCAGATTCCCGACTCATGCAGGCTGCGAACCTGCGGCTTAAAGCAACAACCTATACACTGATGCCCCGGAATCTGCTTTCACAGATGCCGTGCAGGATCACAGCATCCATCGGCCGTCATATTTGTAGTCTCGCACACCAGGACTTCCAAAGGTTGGTGCTCAACGAGAAAGCCACAGCTGGAAAGCAGCTTGCCGCAAAATGGTTCACCTGGTATTTCAGGACAGCCAGCCAACAATGGAGTAGATGGAGTCACAGCGCTTGAACGGTACGGCAGAATCAGAGATCAACAGAAGAAATGGGATAAGGGCAGACGCTGTAGCATTGTAGCGTGATAGAGACGGTTGCAGGATGCTATGCCAGTGCTGACGATTCCACGGATTCCACGAAGGGTTGATGATCCGTTTATGTCCGCAATATGTCACTGGTTCCTAGGCGAAATGAGCCGCAGCACTATTACGGTTTGTGGCCATCTCAATGAACCCGTTTCCTGCATGCTTTCATTGGTAAAACTTCGATGTGTAACATCGTGTTCATCACCATTTTGATCAGAATCTCATCCTCGGGAGTCTTGGGCTTCGGACCTAGGATCTATGGTCTGCGGCTTTCTTCCTGTCATGACACAGCTAGTCATTCCTGAGCTGCACGTAGCTCGCAGGTTGTTGGAGTCGGCCGATGCCGCCGAAAAAGGTGGTGCGGAAAACGCCGTCCGTCCCTGAGAGATTCCGACGACTCGCGCAACGGGAGGCAACAGAGACATGGAGGGAGAGCTGCTAAAACTGCACGACATGTGCGCGGGAGCGGTCTTGAACCTTTGATTGCCCGCGGCCCTTGTAAGCCGACTGGGCGTGGCAGTTGTGCAGAGCGCTCCATTCAACATTCCACAGTCCATGTCGTGCGTTGTGACATGCCGCGGAACATGAGAAGAGCTTGACTCCGAGGGGCAGTCACCGAGGCCAGCAAATCCAGCAGTGGGTATGAGAGCAGTGACGACGAGCATCGTCGTTGGTGCATGGCGTGACAAAGTCAGAAGGCATTCTACATCCGCGTGTCCGGATGATGTTTTAGCATAAGAAATGTCCATGCGTTTCATGTCTTTTTGAGCATGCCTTGCTCTTCTTGAAGCTTCCAGCCACTTGGGGGCCAAAGCTGCTCCAAAGTTGAAGTGCACCGACGTCCGCCATGATTGACTTTCTGGTGGTCGGTTTGCTGGCTGAGCAGTTTGCTCGACAGCTGCTAATGCAAATTGTGCCAGATCGTGGCATGTTGAGCAATGATAGGCCCCAATGATTCCGTGAGAGCATGTTGAATCGTAGCATACTGATGGACAGCCTGGCAATGAGGGGGGGGGGGGCGGGGCGGGCAAAAAATCCGAAGCTTGCCATCCAGCCTTCGCTCGAAGACAGCAGAGTTGCAAACTAGCACAGTGCAATAGATGCATGTTGGGTATACAGTTTACAGCATTTTGTAGCAGAGCTGGAGTGCTAAAGCCAGGTCCACGTTGTTCAAGCAACAAACTTCACAAACCATCACTCGTGGTTCGTCGCATCCGACAACAGCAACCAGCCTATGCGCCAGTGTTCATCGTTTGAGTGCTTGAGCCGCCATGCCGCCGGATCCGGCAAAAAAACTTGCCGATTTGGTCCAGCAAGCTGGCAGACTGCACAGTTTGCCTGAACACAGCCGGGCAGAACACGAACGGGAGTTGCCTCGCTCTCAGGGTGTGCTGCTGCATGCCTCGGTTGGTTGAGATTGTTCACAATTACGCAGTAAAGGTTGGATCTTGCTCGCAAGTTCGCGCTAATGTGTGCGGCACCAGGTTCGGCGAGGTGCGATTGGGCCTTTTGCAGCCGGACGCCCTCGAAGGATCCTTCGAAGAGCATGACATGGCAGCCATGCTGCGGCTTATGGTTAGCTCCTTGCCCCCGACAAGTGCAGCTTTGATTGAGTGCGATGTAGGCATCACTTGCAAGATTTTGCAAGCAAGGCTGTGGAAGCAAGAAGCGGTTGGCATCTCGCGCCGTCGAAAATTTGAAGCAATTCCTGAATAGCAGGCTTGCGGCTCGCGTGCTTCGCGTGGCTTTTTGGGACAACATGTTGCACACGATGCAGGTCATGGCTCAAAGTGGCACATGGCTCGCCAGAGCTGCTTCTAGAGCTGAAAGGCTTCCTCCTGGAAAACCCAGAGGCAGGCATTCGTGGTGAGAGTTACTGTATGCCCGTAGTATTGCAACATCCTGTTAATTCAACATGAAGAAGCTCAGGTAACCAAAGATGCTGACATGACGGCTGTCGCTTCTCTTTTGGAAGCTCCGCCAAGTGATGCATGACGGCACGTGGATCCTGTTACAGTGTATGTTTGTGAAGCCTGTCGTGTTAAGCAGGGCGTTTGCAAACAACTAGAGTCCACAGAAAAAACGGTAATGTGTGGCATGACGCATTTGGCTCCTTAATCTTAACAGGTCGGATGCCCATCTTCCTGCATCAATCGTGATCTCAGGACAGCAGGTGCCGGCCAGATTCGCCTACGAGTCCGGCCGGCGACGTAGTTGTTGGGCTATTACAGAAACCTGATGGAAGTTGAGCGTTTCTTTGGAGTTCACAGGCCAAGCTGGATGATGATACACGCCGGACCCGCGTGCTTCGGAACTTTCCGCAAGTGACAGTGGGCCGACTCGGGTCCAATGCCGAAGGATGATACTGGAACCGCTGCAACGCGGTCGCGAACTCATGGCCTCGTGCAGATGGCATGTGCTTGGCCGGGATCCGAGTGCAACAGCCATGCTCGTCTCTGTAAGATGGAATTTGGCGTGTTGTGGTTCTGCTTTGGCGTCAACGGCAGAGCTACTCGAATCCGTCCCTTCGGGCATCGAAAATGACATCCAATCACTAGCACGAGGAGTGGTTTCTAGTGTTTGTTTGCACTTCTCAAAGCCCAACCTCCGGTACCTGCCAAGGTGATGAGTCAGGCCAAGCGCTTTCCTTGTTCTGCCGTGGCGTGACGCGCCTGGCCGGCACGGCTGTCGGCAGGGAGGCAATGGACGCTCCAGGCAGGGTCCGCCAAGTCTTTTGTGCAGTTCGTGTCCCTTGGCCTCTAGACTTGCCTTCAAACTCCAGCGCAACGCTGGCAACCGGCAGCTAAGAACGCTTCCCATGACTTCGGTTCTTTTCGATACTTCCCCTGAGACGGTGGGCGCCGAATGGAGCCCCCTTGCCCCTTGAACTGAACGAAAGCAACTCGTTGACCTCCCAAAAGAGGGTGACAAGTCGCAAGCGGACAGGAGGCTTTAAAGAGAGGTAGTTGAGAGTCAGAAGACTTGACCTCTCGCAATCCGCTCAGACGGATGAACTGCAGATAAGCTCACAGCACCAGGGGCGGAGTTGCCTGTTCTGGACTGGCTTGAGCCTTACGCGATGGTTCAGGTTTTTGGATAGAGAACACCCTACCCTGTCGTGCGTTTTCAGGCTGGCCTCAGATTGGCCCAACATCATCAAGTTCCTTGCCAACGTGTGGGGAGCTCGCGAGCTCGAGTGTCTGAGCTAAGCGGGACGACACGGGCTGCTGCTGAGGTACGAACTGAAACGATTGAACAGGTCGAGGTCTTACTGTCGTCAAGACCTAACAAGCCGGGTTCAGCCAAAGGGCGCTCCGCGGAACTGATCACACCAAGGAGTCAAATTGAGGCATGTGCCTGGCTGGCTCGTTTGCTTGATTTGACTCTGCATTCTGCATTCATGATGTGCTGGACGGTGTTGCGCATGCCGGATGTCTCGGTAAAGGTGGAGAAGCTGCGGTCGCTGTCCCACAGCTTCTCCGAGGCCGAAGCTTCCGCGGAAGGTGCGGCTTGCCATGCGGTGCTTGATGTTTTGCTGCTGCGTGGTCAAGTGTTGCTGCGGCTTTTCCGCAGGTTTGCCATGGAGGCCCCGATTTGCACGGCGCATGTGGTCGAGACATGTCGAGACATACAAACAGCGCAGTTTGACCCGTTTGCCATGGATTTTGGATCAAAACCAGGCTGCGACCGGTTTCGCAACACATGCTCCAAGTGCATAGAAGCTTAATGCAAATACATCGCAACCCCGCCAGGGATTCAATTAGTGTTATTTCTGAGCATTCTTGGTCGTAGCCATGTTGGTCAGCAGGCCGGGTAACCCAAGCTCGCTTGGTGAAGCTCAATTGGGAAACCGTTCGTTCAATCTGATCTTCTGAGCCTGGCGCAGGAACCTTTTGAAGAAGGAGTCCGGCTGCGCCCCGAAACCTCAGGCGGTGCACCATGGTCGTGCTCACCGCCGAAGCTTTGCCGCAATGTTTGCAAGATCCAGCAAGCTTTAGTCCACCGCTTTTGGGGTCTGTTGGTCTTCCAGGCCAATTGCTTGTCGCAGCGCTTCGCAAGTTGGACAATTCGCCCATGCCGAATGCCGACGTGCGAGGCCTCCCTCCAGTTCCCTTCAGCCAAAGCACACGAAGCTGAAGCCAGAGTTTTCGCTGCCGTTGCAAGGCTCTTGCGCGGAGGGCCTGTGGACAGCTTTTTTCGGCGGGCTTGCTTCCAAAGAAAGTGGCTTGGCAAAGGACATCGGCAGGCGTGTTGGAGTGAGCCCCTCGAGTTCGCTCCACCACTTCGTCTCGAGAACCTCCATGCCATGAGGTAAGGTTCAAGCACAGCATACGATCACATGTCCCTACTGCTACTGTACTACTGAGGCACTACTCGCTTGCCAGCGATTACTGGGCCGTTGGACAGCCCGATTAAAGAAGCAGCATATGCAGATTCTGACGGTGAGACATCGAGCACCATGACCCGGGTATCCACCCTCAGCTGCACGGACTGTGAATCCAACGCCTAGCCTTCGTGTTACTCCCGTGTTCTGCTGACCTGGAGAAACGAATGTGAACTGTTGTTGGGTTGACTGTGGCACACAAGTGCAGCTTTGCCGAACGTCCCAGAATTACCTGACTTGTGCGTAACCCTCGCGGGCGGGCAGGATTTGTAATGCTGGTGACGTTGCATCTACAGGTGTTGAGGTACTTATCCGGGCTGCCAGACAAAACTGTGAAATGTGAACAATGACACCAGCGCTCTGACTTGTAAACGCCACGCCCGCAGGGTTCAATTTTTGGCCGGACTCAGGCAAGGCGAGCAGTTGATGAGCACTCAACTCAACGAGATTTGTATAGACCTGTACAGAACGAGGGGAGATTGTCGGCCCGTGAGAGCAGAGCGCCAACTTGTGCAACCTTCTGCTGAGACCACCTCTTCGTGGAGAAGTGACTTGACTCGGCGAAAGTGAAGTTAATTAAAATTCTCGGCAGCGTTTCCAATCATGTGTGCGAGTGGATTAGCTGTGCAGACTGTCATGCATATCTCTGAGATGTTTGCTGAAGGGTATTGGAGATGAGCCATCCGTTTTTCTTCAGAAGGCTTCTAGCAGAATTGGTCTTTCCATGGGCCATGGGTAGCAAGGCCACCCACTCCCTGGCGCGAGTATGGAAGAGCTTAGTCACACGAGCTTTAGAGAAGAGGGAGGGAAGTGGCAGTCTCGGTGCCTGGCATCGCCATCGCCAGAAGAGCCGGTCACAGAGCTGACCGAATGTAGCTTTTGATGTCAAATCCAAGACATGACCACAGCACGATGGCTGCGCAAAAGCACAGTATGTAAAGATCAACGGCGAGCCACGACACCGAGACGGCAAAAGGGCATGATCCTTGTGGAGAACTCGTGAGCGCGCTTGCAGCAAAGAGTTAATTCCCGATCTGCTGCTGCTCCAGGCCAAAGTGTGACGATGGTGCTCCAGAGGATACCAAGGCGAAAGTGCCTTGAATGGCGCAAGAATGCGAACCAGCCACATACAGCCAGCATGGCAGGATGACTCGTCGCCTGTCGAAGTGGAGGAAGCAGAGGTGCCCCGCTTGCCTTTAGTGACGAGGCCGAAGTCTTCAGACGTTCTTGGCTGCAGGAGCCGCCCCCTCCGCCTCCTCCGCTACCACCTCCAGCTGAAGAGGAGACAGTTGCTGCTGATAATAAGTATTAGTACTACAATTAGCATGTGTATGCCTGTGGCTATTCCGAGTATTATTGCGATTAGTATTCGTATCATGCAGTAGTGAATTACAACGAGTATTCGAGTTCCTCATGTCCTTCACCTTTTGGCATCTCATGCAGCCATGGCAGGAGAAACCTGGCTTGCTGAAGCGAATCCTCTGGGGAGGAAAAGCAGAGGACCCTCCATACACACGCATAGTGTATGTATGTATGTATGTATGTATGTACATATATGTAATATAACATACATATAGTATCATATAGTACAACAGGGTATAATATAGTATAATATAATATCAGATAGATAGATAGATCGATCGAGTATAGTACAACAGAATACGACAGAATACGAGACAGTATAGCATAATGTAACATAACATAGCATAGTTCTGTATATTTCAACGAAATTACGTAATGCTAGATGATGTTTTGTTATACTTTGCTGTCTTATTTAGGATATCTAGATGTTTGTCGGGGCTACAGACCTCGCCATCCATGCAGCTTCGTGCTTAAGTTCGCAGCGTTTCACGTACTGCGGCCAATTCGCAGATAAGTGATTGAGTTTGTACGAAAGTTTCGCGCTGCACCTGCTGCATGTGGTCCATGCTCAAATGAAAGCGATGGCATTCCCTGACATGAGGCTTGTGCATTGGGTCGATCCTGAAATTATGATTGCGCCAGGAAGTCCAGCTCACCGTCCGACTCCCAAAGCTAGAACCTCTTCCCACTGTTCGGTCTTAGTGTAACAGCGTTCCCACCCTGGTTGTCTCCAGTTGCGATGAGCAGCGAGGCAGATCCGTTCCTTTTGGATGTTATCCATCTTCTGGGGAGATATACGGACACGGCCCGACATGCCCTCGCAGCCGAGCTTGTTGAGGACAGATTGGAACAACCAGCCACCGCTCTCGCATCAATGGGCGCGAATGCTAGTGACGAAGAGGAAGCATTGCGACAGCGACGCGTGGAGGAAGAGCAGTCGGTCGGTAAGGCCTTGGACCGCTTTAGCTCCATGGCTTCGGCCGAGAACCGCCGTTGGGTGACAGGTTCCAACGAGCTTCTCCAGATGTACTTTGCAGCGCGGCAACAGGAGCTGGATGTGGTCAGGCGGTGCTTCACCGACGCAGAGTCGAAAGCAAAGTTTACTGCGGCTGTGACAGACCGGACCGATTCCCACCTGGGGCCGTTGAAGAAACTGCCGAGCTCCCCACAGCCTCAGGAGCCTGACCTGGACTTAGCCTCCACTCGACAGGCTTGGGCAAAGGAGGTGAGTCAGGGTATTGTCGCGTCTTTGCGCCAGGACTGGCGTTCTGGCCAAAAGCAGACGTTGCAGGCTTTGTCCAAAGATATGCGCTCCGCAATTCGGAACATGACTGCAGTGCTGAAGACTCATCTTGCCACCCAACAGAAGATGTCCGAATCTGCAGCCTCTGCCTGGAGCGGCCAAATCACGAAGGTACAGCAAAGACTGACCCAAGTTGTTCGTGCCTGCCGCTTGGCTTTTGAGGCAATGCTTCAAGCAGAGCTGAAAGAGGTGAGCAGATTCTCCGCTCGGCAGAAGGAGTTTTTTGAGCGTGAGTTGCAACGAGCCCAGCAAGCTGATTCAGAAGACTCACAGGCAAGGGCTGCCCAAATCAAGAAATTGAAGCTGGCTTTGGCAAAGTGGCAGAAACAGTACATGAGCGATGCCCTCCAGAGGGCGAAGGAAGCCCAAGCAATCAAGGTTGAGACGGAGACCAAGGAGAGTGTCACGGGAGAAGGGAGCGCCTTGGCTTTGGAGAAGGGAAGGGACCGGGAGTGGCTGGATGTGCAACTCCCGACACTCCACGAGCAAGCTCAAGAGGAAGCAGAGGCTGCCTTGGAGGGTTTTAGTGACGAGGAGAAGGCCGAACATCTGCCGGCAGTCCAGCAAGAAATCCTCGATCGGCTTCTATCAGAAGCGGCCACGGATCGCTTGGAAGCCTGTGGCATTGTGCTGGAACATCTCTGGGAGCATTCCACGAGCCAAGAAGACACCTGGAATTTCATTTATGGGCTCGAGGAAGAAGTGCCATGCACTGCAGCAGCGGTTTCCCTGTACGAGGAGCATTTAGCAAAGCATGGCATTTTTGCCGCGCTGGGCGGGCCTCTTGTTACGAGCTCGGCCTTAGAAGAGGCCGAAGCTGCCGCAAACTTGGCATCAACGAAGCAAACTGCAGCGAAGCGGCAAAGTTCTGCAGCTGCAACCAAACTTGCGCAGAGAGGCAAAGCAAAGGTCTCAACAGCCGACTGCCACTTCGCAATTCACTGGCACTCCGTGATGTAGTAGCATGATTGACCTTGCCGGTCAATGAATCTCGTAACTTGTGAACTATCGAATCTCACCACGTACACGGTCACAAAGAATTGCAGCGCTGCTAGAGCATTTAGAGCAACACACGCCTGCATCCTTGGCAGGGCAGAGACACCCGAGAAACTGGTCATATACTTCAACTTGATGTCAGTAGACTTTCTGGTGACTTTGCAATCGAGAACGACAAGCTCGCAGGAACCGGCGGTTCCCCCGGCACCCCCAGCGCCTGCCGGGCACAGAGTTATGGCTGACGGCTTGACTCGGTAGAGATGATCATGGCAGAAGTCGGGCATGTTGAGGTTCCGGCTCCGACCGTTGTAGTCCCGAAGGCCGACTGTTTCCTGCGCTGCGCCGCACTGCATCCTTTCACAGCAGTCGTTGCATGAAGTTGCGTCTTTGCGTGTTTCAGCTTGCCTTTGTGTCTGTTTATGCTGACTCCACGTTGTCTGTTTATGCTGACTCCACGTTGTCCGAAGTTGACGTCCCCAACCATGCGGCCCGCTCCCAGTGTCAACGGCTCGTTGTATGTATGTTTGGAGTTCGGATGAGTTCAGTATGCCCGCATCGATGGTTCTTTATGTTTTGTGTTCTGTCTTTTGTTTGTCTGCCTGGCAAGGGTTTTCTTTATGTCTTTGCCCATCTGCAGCTCGTTCTTGTCTTGATGCCCTGGCCTCCACCCATCTCGAGGCGGCTCCTGCTGCAGCAGGCCCTGCTTTTGTGCCCTGGTGCGTTCCGACTGCAAGAGCGACAGCTTCGGCTACAACACTGCAGGCTATCCGTCTGATCCGCCTGGGAGCGGTGCCCCTGCCAGAGCTCCGAAGGCTATTCTGCGGAGCTCCCTGTGAGAGAACTGGGCTTGCTTCGGCACGCAGCAGGCTGCAGCTAAGCCCGGCGTGGTTCGCAACTGAGAGAGCGCTGCATTGGACGAAGGAGACTCGATCGAACGCTGCAGTTCAGATCTTCAGGTTTGGGTAGACGTGAACCCGAAAGCTTGGCAGAACTGGGCTCGGAGCATGTGTCAGGGTTGCCATCGGCTGAAGCGCTGCCTGCTCAGGAAAACGACTTTGAATGGCCACACAGGCGGATAAGGGATACGTTGAGCGAGAAACGAGAGCAGTTAGCCTGCTGACGTTCTTGAAGGTCTTTCGTTTCAAGGCTTCGATGGCACGCAGGAGACGAGGTGGGCGCTGCAGCGTTGCATGAGTTCCCTGTTTGTGCGGTCTCGGGGGCCCTGCAAATGTCGAAGCTTGCTAGTTTGCCAGTCATTCCCAGTGCCATTGCCGAGACCGGACACCTCTCCACCCAGGCCTTGGCTCTCCTATGTGCAACAGCGTGCGGCGTCGGACGAGCGCGTGGCTGTCCTGATTCTGTCATCGCCTCAAGAGGGGAACCGAGCGGTTTCGCGAGATGGCTCTCCGCTTCTGAATCGCAGACTAGTGCAGAAGTCAGAGAAGTGGGTAGATATGTCCAGGTCTAGGTAATTTGCGACAAGGAATCGCCGCCACAAGAGCGACGCTGTGGCCATCAAGCAATTCTGTCGGATTCTTGTTTTCTCGGCCATCTTCAGAATCGTGCCGAGCTTTGTGAGAACTCTGGCTTGCTTGAGATGCCTTGCATCTCAGGTGCCTCGAAGCATGTGCCCCCTCCGCAGTTCATCGTCCCAAACTCAGCCGCGGCGCTCCAGCGGGGAAGATCGAGCCTCCTGCTGTCCTCAGATGCGTTCTCAGGTTTGTGGCAAAGGAGCGCCTGAAGAGGTGTGCCGAGAGTGGGGGATGCAGGAGCTGAGTCCATGTAGACTTCTGAAAATGATCATCTTCCACACACACACACACACCTTACTGCCTTACTGCTCGCTTCGCGGCTTAGCGGCTTAGCGGCATGGTAGATGCATCTTGGTCGAAGAACAAACTGCATGTTCGAGGACATTCATGTCACCAAAGATTGGGTGCAGCGCTTGGCACATGTCTGCAACACTCAGCACAAAGATGTCGGCGGCAAGCTCGGTTTGCGCCTGAGGACGAAGCAACTCGCATAGCTCTCAGTGAGGCTTGGAAACTGCCTGTTTTGAAGGAGGGAGTGTCTGTGCGAGTGGAAGGATAACAAGACCAGAGGCTTGACGGCCCCGATCCAAAGCGTCCGCTTGCCTTGGAGGTGCGCACTCCGGGTCCGCTGCCACTGCCCCGCACACCACTCGGAACTGTCCAAATGAAGTAAACACTTCAACTGTAGGCGGCAGAACTGACACTGTCGTGGAGGTGATTCAGAGATAGTACTATTCGTCACTCGTTAGTCCCATGTCTCTGTTTCTCTTTCGCCCGCAGCATCTCGTGGCACTTCATGCAGTTTCGGAACAACTTCAGCTGATCGAGCTGAGGCGACCCAAGGCACAGAGCAGCCACTGACATGTGAGCAGATTAGATCGCAGAACGCAGTTGACAAGATGCCACAAACTAACGTACACTAACGCTTTGTGACAATGCAGATGCCAGGGTGTCTCAGACAGGGATCGCAGGGTCACGTCAACTGGACAGTCTTCTCGTGTTTCTCACTCCGGCCAGTTTTATGGAGGACATCGCGACTGTACAGGTAGATGCCTGGCGTGCTGGCCGTTCGTGCGCGGGCAGAGAAGTTAGTTGTTGCATTGTTCAATGCTGGACGATAGAGGTGTCTTATCGGGCGGGGTCCTGAGCATTCATCATCTAGAATTGTACGTACCCGTTCTCTCGTTGCTCCAGCCGCGTGCCGCACATGCTGGTCGCATACAAGAGGACAATTCAGGATCACCAACTTACACCCTGACTTCAGAAACCCAGCCCAACACGTATCTTTCGAAGTTTCAATGGTGTCATGTTTGCTGCCGGGACAGCACAGCTCTGGATGACATGAGATTCAGATAGCAACGTCCGTCAGCCATGGGCCGGAGAAGTGGCACCTGCCTTTGCTCGTGTTTGTGCTGAAACGCATGGTCTCGTCTGACCTTCGCATTCGAGTTGACAGATTCGAGTCCTGTCAAGGTGCCTTTGGGGCCTTTGCTGCAGCAGCGACCACGCAGCGCCAGCAGCAATAATGTGCTGCATTGCAGCTGCTTCATAGAAGCGGCCACGCGATATGATTTGGGGATTGTGAGGCCAGGGAAGACGGGGGCCTTCTCCCGCTTCGCTGACGAGGCTGGAGCTCTTTTACAAAATCGATCTTTGGCCGTGAAGCCCGAGGCTCCTGGCGATGCTCCGAAAAGGACGCTGCGAGCTGAGAGTGGGATGGCTGTCTCATGCCAGATGATGCACTGACTTCGAAGAACTTCCGCCTTTTGCTGTCCTTTAAGGCCAGCGCGGACCAAGGGGAACAGTCCGGCAAGCGGCTCAATCATCTTCGATCATGTGCAGCAGCGTTGTCTAGCGATGTGGTTCACTTGTCATGACTTCAAGCGAGATATTCATTGTCATGATCCTGCATGAAGTTTGGCATCCAACACTGGGGTCTGTCGGCCTTTGATGAAGCCCACCTGTCGCAGCATGAGAACGTGCACCGCCCGTGCCCCATGTAAAGTACCATCCCCAAAAGCCTCAGTCAGCGCAGTGGCTTCGGCCCTTCCAAAACAAGCCCCCTGCAAAGCCGGAATACAGCCCCAGCAGAACCCGAACGCACTTCAGCAAGGCCCACAACTAAGATCGCAACACAGTCGATCAAGGCGCAGGATGAAAGCCCTGGACCCTAAGCGACCTCATGAAGCCGTGCCTGCGTTGTGCGAGCGTGCGAGTCGAAACCTTGTACTTGCTGGACTGCAAGGCACCAGAGCTCTCGTTGGACGAAGTGCGGCGTCTTCTGGAGGCCTTCAACCTGTGCAGCATGGCTTTGTGTTATGGGATACTGGTGGCAGGATGCTTTAGGCCTTTTCTGGGTGCGAAATCAGGTGCTTGTTGCTATTCCAGCATGCTTGTTCATGCCAAGAACGGTTGAGCCGATTGGTGAGGCAAGCATTTATGTGGTTTGCCCTTCCTGCTTTCATGCAGTGGTGGCACATGATGGTGCGTGCATGCCTCCCTGAATTTCATGTCTTCGACAAGGGCTGTACTCGATTGAGCAACCCCGGCACCGGAAGCTGCCAGTTCAATCAAGCTTGAAGTGCCGGAGCCCCGAAAACAGAATGTGAGGAGCTCCGGACCGTTTCCAACAGTGCGAAGTTCCAGAAGGCCGCGGGCGGTGCCTTCAGAGGTTCCACGAGGCTTGTGAGCCGAGCGCGGCAGGACTTAGCGGAGCTTCGGAGAATGGACTGGGGGGCCTTCAAAAAACGGGAGGCGGGCGTCTCGGGGCCGGAATGACAGTGCACTTCAAACTGCGGCGTGCAGGCCGTAGCGAAGCTGCTATCCATCTTTTGGAAGGCCTGCTTAAAGTCGCAATTCCATCTTAGCAGTCTACCTGGCCGCTGAAGGCAACTCTTAGAAAGCACGGCTTCAGCATCGACGGTGCGGGCTTCCCTAACCTTCTTCAAGTCGTCAAGGACGGATTTGTGCGAGGGGGACGGCCAACGATTCGTAGAGCATGTAAACAAGTTATTGTAGAGGCCTGGCAGCGTTTTGGATGCCGAGTTGGGGTGGGGAGCTCTTCGGAAAGTGCCGCTGTCCGGCCTGCAACCTTCTTGGCTCCCCAGCTCCCGCCAACGGGGTCAAGCTCCGTTAAGGGCAGCGCAGTGGACTCATCTTTGATCCATTCGAGAAGAGCTGCTTTCAGTGCACACCTCCGGAGTCGCATTCCCAGGCTGCTCATGGTGCGCCAAAGAGCGCCGCCAATCTTGAGACTACTCGTCGCCGACGCCTTGGCTCTGTTCTGCGGCCAAAAGCCAGAAAAACCCTCAAAAGCGCCGTAGCGCCAGGTTCTGGTCGGACTGGCGAAGAGCCATGAGGCCGAGGCCCGGCCACAAAAGAGATGCAAAGAACGCGCTTTCTGCAACCTCTGCCCTTCGAGGACGGACTTGAAGGCAGCCAGTGGTATAGCAAGATACCTGAGACCCCCGGCATTTGTTTAGCAGTTTTTGGACCAGCCCGAGTGACATCATCAGCCGGTCAAGCACAAGCGCTAAGGATCGTGGTCTTGGACCCATCTATGAGCTCGAAAGAGCTCAAGGCGAGTTGTGTGCGAGGTCTTGCCCGTCCTTGCATATTTAAAAAGCCCGAGCGCCCTTCAGGCAAAGCTGTCGGAGGTGAAAGAAGCGACGTCCCATTTTGGACCTGCCTATCCCCCAGGATTGCTGATTGACCGGCTTGCAGAAACTCTTTCAGTCCAAGGCAAGACGCGCGGTCTTGCTCAAACCCGGGGCTTGGCTCTTGGATAGGTGCAGTGCAGAGCATCTTGAAAGATGACACTAAACTACTAAACTGACATGAGGTCTACCCGGATGACATGTGGATCGAAATAGGCTGTGGGGGAAGGGACTGGTCCGTGCTTGACCACGTTTGCTTGTCCACACGAAGCCTCCTTTAACCTAGCAGCTGTTACAGGGTTCACCTTGTGGGTTCGTGGTTGTTGAATGAGGACTTCGAGGTGCTGTAGTCACAAGGAGGTGCATGCCGCGACCGTCCTGACGACTTCCGGAACCTTACCGCTCGGATCAATGGTTGAGTGATGCTACGCTTGGTGTAAGCCGGGCTACACACGCAGCGTGGAAGAACAGGGTTGTTTTTTCGTGTTACCGCTTAAGCCGGCAACTTTAGCAGGAGTCTGGGAACTCGACCGAAAGCCCTGCTCCAGTCTAGATTAGTTTGAGCCGACAGAAAAGCACTCCGCAGTCCTGCCTGAATTTTGGATCCTGATCCTCCTAATGCGAAACATTGCTTGGCACTGGGAAGCCAGCACCGCGAAGCGTAAGCCAAACACTTCAGCATAGGAACATCGTGGCCAAACAAGAGAATATGCAAGCGCAGATTCGCCAAGCGACGTTGAAGTGCAGGCTACTACACCAGCATCGCTGGGGTCGGCAGAGGTCCTGAATCTGCCATGCCCCGAATGAACTCTGCAGCCGTGCCTTCTCGTTGTTCCTGGCATGTCCCAGGTTGTAGTCCCGGATGCATGGGCCAAGAGCCCAGAGTGTTTACAACTGCTGCTACAGGTTACCCACACAAACCCCCCGCCCAGGTTAGCAATGACATCACAGATCAAGCCGAGAGCTTGGCCTTCATGGCTGTGAGTCCTTGATTGACTTGATGGTCGGTTGTGGCATGGGGTAGGCGTTACTTAGCTACAGGCCTTCGGTTGTGATTTTTTGATGTAGCTGGTGCAATATGTCATGCATACTGAGTAAAGTATATTAGTTTCAAAAACTGGCGATGACCATGGACATCGCCTGGCATACCAAGCCCGGACCACAAAGCCTGCACCCCCCGATACGGAGGCAACGAACAACTTCTGGCGCTCGCTGGAAGGAGTCACTGTGACAGCTGGACGCCGAAGCCTCAGCATGTCCTCGTTCTGGCCGAGGAAAATCGAATACACTTACCAGAAAAAGCGCGCCACAAGAGCTGTAGCAAAAGAAGTAGAAGGAACTAGCAAGAGTCATTAATGTTGTAAGAACTTGTGGGCCATGGACTGTGGCGCAGTCATTTCTTTTAAGATGTTGTTTTTTGGTGTATGAGTTTGACATGTTTCGAGTCCTTGTTGTGCTTCGTGTTGTGTGTGCTGAGGGTGGCAGTTTCGTGGTTTGAGAAGTTTTACTGGTGTTGGTTGGAGGATGTCCCGAACTTTGGATTTCCGTTTGGAGTCTTGTTCTGTTTTCCCTTCCCCTTGCCTTACCTGTGGGGCCCTATGCCAACAGGCTGCCAAGTTTGAGCGAGTACACTAAATAGTGCCAGCCCCAAACAAAAAAGGCCTGGTGACAACTACAAAAAAGCGTCAACAACAAGAACGGACAGACACCAAATCAAGCCTGAGAAAAAAGCAACAGAATCCCAGCAAGCACACCGCCAAGCCAGGACTCCAAAACAACGCCGCCGAAATGCCACCATAATGTCAAAGACTTGTTTCGCTGATGTCCAATGCGTGGCTGTCTGAAAATCTTACAATAGCATTACTGTTGTTTCCAACAAATTGAAATCCCTTGAAGCTACGTGGCCGCATGGCAACAGTTTGCATGGCTTGAATGGCTCAGGCACCATGTGGGCGGTCTCACAGGCCTGCCCAGCAGCGTAGTAGTTGCTCGTGCAACCAGTGCACACATATATATATATGTATAACTATGTATATATATATATATGTATATATGTATGTGCATGCATGTGTGTAGGTATGTACGTATGTAGGTATGTGCGTATATATGTACGTATGTACCTCTGTACGTATATTTATGTGTGTGTATATATATATATATATATATATATGTTTATTTGTTTATATGTACATACGTGGGGTATATACACAGAGCAGCTTCTTTGGCGCAGGCAGCACCGCTTCGAAGGGCAATCATCAAGTATGAGCTCTGGCTCTCTCACAAGGTGCCCTCCGTCAGGTTGCACCGACCAGCTGAGGCAACACCTTAGAATCATGAAGCGCTAAGTTGATGTACCGAAAACATATTCAGTATTGGGGGGTGGGGGGTTACTGCCTACCCGAAGGACAGGATCTTCGGAGCGGATTCCACCTGTGATGATAAATCTCGTACCCAAACACCTGCCCAGAGCCAAAAGGCGGGATACTCCAGCGGTGGCTTCATGAGCGACGTGGAGGCCACGACATGAAAAGCCCAAAACATGTCGGATAATCCTGGCGTTTTGCCAGTCGAATTCAGGTGAACGGGAAGCTGGTCATGGGCACCCAGCAGCAGTGGTATGCACGGCAGGTGTCCCTGCCGCCGGAAGGACAGCTAAACATGCTCCAGGTGTATCACCGGAAGCCTTCGAGGCCAAGCTGAAACGCTTTGCTGTGCATAGGACTTTACTGCACCGGCGGCTGGAACTACATTTTCCAGGGTGCATCTTGGCCTTTCAGTTCGTGGGAGTGTGAATCCAGAGCAATCACAACTTTGTCGGAAACCTAAAGCTGCAAGTGGACAGTCATTTGACAGCAAAGGCGATCCTTGTAGCTTCCCCCGACCGGCTTGTCTTATACCTCAAATCCGGGGCCAGTACCGAGGCTGTCGGACTTGACAAGAAGGACATGCACGCTTGCGATGGAGCTGGAGCCTTGACTCCGTGCAATCTTTGTAAGTGTTTGTGCCATCTCCTCTATGCCCTGTCTAGGGCATGACCGACAAGATCTCGCAGGTGTCGGGCATACCAAGCTTGGCCCTCAGCTCGCTTGATCGGGTGTAAGTGAGTTCGTCCATATCTCGTAAGGATCTGCCGAGAAGCCATACATTGTCTTCGAGGACATGTGGCAACTGCCTTGCCTCGCTGATGTTGACCGGGCTGCGACGTCTTCGCAGGAGACATCCGAATGGAAGATCTACGTGCCGAAGATGCTGAAAAATCCAGCTCCTGGTGCGATTGGCAAGGACTGCTTGATGACTCCAAGGGCCAAATCCAGCTTACTTTCGACTCTTGTCGCTGACCTTCAAGCAGAGACCGCTTGCAGACAGATTCTGCGTCGCAGCCGCGGTTTGCCTAACTCCAGCGACTTGTGTCCAGGCTGTAGAGTGTACTGGTAGTTCGTGTGAAGACGACGGCCTGTTCCCGTAATTACATTGCGTGCTAAAGAGCTTCATCTTGCCGCTTTAACTGTAAACTCGCCGGTCTCGCTGAAGCCCAGCCGCGAATTTGTCGGCTAGCCTCGGGGCCCATTGTAGGTGTCTCGGCATTGAGGGCTTGCATTCGAGCCAAAGGTGGTGACACTAAACCACGAAGTTGAATCATGCAGCAGTGCTTCGGTTGGTTCTTAGACCTCGTGTGTGTGTGTGCGCGTGTGTGTGTGTGTGTGTGTGTGTCTATCCTTTCGTTCTGGAAGTTTAGCGGTGTCTCGAGGGGTCCCATTGTGACTGATCTTCGGCTCTGCGCTAAAGGGCTGAAGCTGCCGATGAGGACTACGAAGACGGTTTTGATGGTGATGGTGATAACGATGATAAGGATGATGATGAGGTTTACTGCGCAGGTTTAGAGGTTCCTTTTGCTTGAGTCCGGGTCTGGGCACATGAAAACGGTTTTCAGGCCTGGTTTTGAGGATCAGTGGAACAGAACTACTATGTTGACGCCAGGACCGCGAATCACACATTGATCGCGTGCTCTACATTGATTCCGACGTCAGGGCCTGTGAGCAGAACTGTGCGAGTTGCAATTGCAATGCTAGCATCACTTCGACCCAGCGGTGGCCAGGGCTAGTTAGTAAGCAGAGTAGAGTTGGCGACACGCACTTCGCTGCCCATAGAGTCCCTGGATGTGGAGAAGGTGTTCATTGCCACTCCGGACATGTCGGCTTCGCAGATCAATCGTGGCATGGCGACGAAGGCGCGAGTTCGTGCGGCACAAGCTAAAGCCACTATAGTGCAATGACATGATTTAGATTCAGTCATTGCACACATTGGACAGTACAGTCGCGGAGACTTTGCGGCGCACAGGAGGGCATGTTGCTGACACCCGGGGCCGGCTGCTCAATTTATAGAATATGTTCTCGAGGTACCCGCTCGCCCAAACAGCTGTCAAAGCTTTGCGACACGTGACACCTTTGAGATCTACCGTCTGGACGAGCCTCTGGTGATCGCTTCCAGTGGTTTCGTGCTCCTTGGGATAGGCTGCTGCCTTGGCCGTTCGTCCAGCGCAGTTTCGCGGTCCCACCTGCAGAGTCATCGGCATTGACAGTATATCTTTCAACACGGGACAAAGCTTTTATGGTCTTTCACAGAGCTACGACGCAGTTCAGAGTAACCGCACAGAGAGCCCGGCTCAGCACCAGGCTTCCCCACCTTGGTGTCACCACCTGGACGATCTTGTCTGCAGGCGTCGGCATCGGTCGAGTCTCCAGTCAAGTCTCCTTGCAACGCAGTGACTGGCAGGTGACCGACTTTTTGACGGATGTGAGTTCGGCACCTAGCCGTGTTCCACCAATGGCAAAGAGCGCTACCGCTCGTTCGGAATTGGTCATGATGACGTAGGTGACCTAGGACCTAGGACCTGCAGTTGTGTCGCGTGCCACGTACAAGCCACGTTTTCAGGGATCGCGGGCATCATGCTGGATGCGGCCACTCCGGTCCTCGGCTTCTATGCGTCTCAACCCTACAAACGATTCGCTTTTGCGGAATCGCTTGTGTGATCGTGTGTATCCGATCCAGCGATTACTTTACAGGGAGCCGCTGCTGCAATGGGGAAGCCGGGGCGAGACTGACGCAAGATCGGCGGAAGCAAGTACCGGAGTCGTCGATGGCTCAGCGTGCATTCTTCCGTGTAGCGCGCTCCCCCAAACCCGGGCAGATCCAAGGCATCTGACATTTTTGCACGTATTGGAGCCTTTGGATATCTGGGCTGTCAACCCGTCAGCATGCGCCTGAGTTGCTCGAGTGCATCCCAGAGGTCTAATTAGAGGCCTAGACCTGCAGATCCTTTGTTTGGAGGAGCCAACACGCTTATGGAATTCAATTCCGACAATTTGATCATCGACAATGTCCACTTCTCGGAGGGTTGTTTTCGCTTTGTTGTCCTGAACTGCACTGCAGTTTTGGACGGTAGCTTTGCAGGTTTGGGCCTGGCACGCCGATCATGACGACTGCTCCAATTTCACGATGGCGTCTCATCCGAACTCAGCCGTATTCAGCCGTAAAGCTCTCTGCACGTTCTTTTCGCGCATCTCTGGCGCACAGAGCCAGAATTTATTCCGTGCTGAGACGCCGAACAACAACGAGAAAGAACCCATGTTCCAGCACAAGTTCAAGTCAGACAAGCACCTGCCTCAGTGATGCTTCGCCTGTATCAGGTGTCATGTTTCTAGGACCGGAGCCCTTGAGCACGATGACACGACAATGCACAAGCGTTGTAACGTGTTTCTTTAAGTCGGAGCTTCCAGCTCCCCGGCTGAGGTGCTGGAGCCAACATGGCGTTGTCGTGAATGGGCCCGGCCCCAATCGCGAGCTAGTCGTATGTAAAGCATGTCAACTGACGATGGAAAGGCGCAACATTATCGCTTTTGGCGTTGCCGTAGAGCATATTGTCGTCAGAAGCCCAGTGACAAAGATGAGCAGATCACAGATTCCCTACTGCATGTTCCGCGCTGGAAGGATGGACATCTTCTAGTCTGGAATGGCGAGGATGGACAGCAGGATTCTCAAGATATATCCAGAGATTCCCCGCTAGGCATCGATCACGTCGTAGCTGTAGTTGTGAAGCTTGCATGGTTTGCGTGATTTTAGAGGTCCTATTACTATGTTTGGGACAGCCATGCGCGGACCTACGATAGATGCCGGCTTTTCACTGCGCAGCACTGAGGCTGTACTTCTTCCAAGCGGAGCTACCGTACCATTCGCGGCTGAATCTCGAGCCAGCTTCTCAGATGTTCCTACAGAGAACTGGGCCACCAAAGAGCCGCAGTGGTTCTGTGGGTGCCATGACTGCTAGAGTAGTAGTAGGCCCTGTATTCAGGTAAGATCTACGTCGTGTCTAAGTCACTCGAAAAACTGGCAACTTGACTAAGTAGGTCGAATCGTCTTAAGTCGTCCCGAGTCCAGAAGCTCACCGCCACATTGCGATTCCTTGCCTCGCCCCGCAAAGGAGCAGATATGCTGCGTATGTCGTACCTCCGCTCGGGACTTGGTGAGTGAGGAGAGCAATTCGATTTGTTCGCAGTCTCAGTGCATGTTCTTGTGTATCTATGACTCTATGAGACATCAGCATGATAGTTAGCAGGATGATGGTTCTAATTTGGTTGCTACTACATTCTGATCGAAGAACTGAGCTGCTTTTCAGCAGTGTTGCAATTGAACCTTGCTGTCACAGTGTACTGTCTTCATTGTTGTTGTTGTGGTTGTGCTATAGCATGCGAGTAGTCATAGTGGTGGTGTAGCAGAACTAGTCGCAGCAGCGGCATGATGTGTAGTGTTTTTTAAGGTTGCTCGTTTTCTTGTTACTGATCTCTGGCACTTCTCCGGGACATCGCCTACTCACACGTCTCATTCAATGATCTTTGCTCGCGACTGGTGGTCGGATGGTTTCTATGCCGTTTTGTGTTAGGCGGTATTGGCTCAGACCAATACAATGACAGACCCCGCAACACCACCGCTACGGACCTCACGTCATGCAACAGAAATTCAACCGGCTCAGCTTTTCTTTTCGTCGAGGCCGAGGAATCAGGGGTGGGGTGACGTGGTATCCTGTGCAGCGGACGGTGACAAATTGGATACTGTTGGAAGATGAAGCCTCTGCAAAAATCCTTTGCAGAGTTCCGGCGAAGCCTAAGAATGCGTTTAAAAGGCGCGTAATGTCCTGTAGCGTCTGTGTGCTCCTACCGAGTGCTGTCAAGGGGAAGGTGAACATTCGTTTGGAGCCCTAGCCTGCGCTCCTGGGAGGTGGGTCCGGGGTGGATGGGGAATGATGACGGTGGCTGTGAAATTGCATTGGACTTGGTATTAATTTTTATGCTGAGGGTTTTTTTATTTTTATGCTGTGCAGCTTCCCGTCTCCATTGACCTCCATGTCTCCATCCCATCGTCGATAGGCTTTGTTCTTATGCGCATGGAGTCTCCTTTTATCCTTTTTATGCTGCTGGTTTCAATTTGTATGCCAATCTGACCTTTTTTTATGCGGCCCCCTTTCCTATGGCATTCTCAAGATTGCTTCGGCTGTTGCGACAGCTTCCCCGCACAATCTATCACAATCTACAGCAGGGAGTTCATCACTGTTGCAGGCAAGTCTTCAACCACTTCGGAGTGGGCATCGGCGTTTACATCATTGATGCACATCCGGTCCGCCTGCGGAAACCATGGCTGATGTGTTTGGAAGTCCTGCCATCAGTCGTGTGACTCTGGTGCATTCATGACATCGCAAGAGGTGCATGTGTTTGGCTTGCAGCACTAGACACTGACGTTGACAGGCATGATCCCGACATGTTATCTCTAGGTTCCTGTGTGCAGGCCTATGCCGCCCTTGAGATATCGGCCTTTACCGACATCAGAAAGGCCTCCACAGGTTAAAGGAGATGATCCTAACAGCGGTATCTTGCTGCAGGTGCTGACCGTTGTCATCAGCAAACAGAACCAGCTCTTTCGTCACCAGGCACTCTCATGGTGATTCAGAACGTTTGTTTCGGCCGAAGCATGTCCGAAACATAAGGTCTGTCAAGTCATGCTCGATGGCTCAAGGATATGTCATCAGCATCTTGGCTGCAGTCACGCCTTGTCGCTTCAACTCCAACGCTGCAGTAGTTTTAGCATACTCTTGGCTATGTGCGGGGTGCGCGAGCGCTTAAGTGTTCAACCGTGAACAGTTCTGAGCTTAAACTGCAGCTCAAGTGGCATGTCATTTCCTCAATCAGAGTCTTCTAGTGCGCAGCGGCAGCCGTCCAACCCGAGCAAAAGTTACTTATATAAGAAGTTTTGAAGGCGGAGGCGGTCGCATGCAGCTCTGTGGCCACCTGCTTGGCAGCCTTAGGGAGCGCTACTACTGACTGCCGAGACAAAATACTAAAATGATGTGTGTGTATATATATATGTATATATATATATATATATATATACACATAAGGGAAAATACATATGTAATTCGTGGCGAGAAAGCTGATCTCCGATTCTGACTTTCCCACAGTCATGCGCTGCAGCCTCTCACACTTGTGATTTTTTTGATGCCTCGGCAGCCATCAGATCGTCGGACTTGGGACGGCCCCCATGTTTGAGAGATTTGGGATGTCCTGCTCCTTCAACCTTTGCCCTGGACGCTAGAGACCAGGATGGATGTGCCTGTTGCATTTGCACATCGGTGTCCTCAAACATCGGCAGACTGCCGACCTCACTGCCTCATGTCTTGCCGCGCTTTCGTGGCTAGCACCGCGATTCCAACTGAGCTGTTGCATACAGTTGGAAGATGATAACAATGCACAACAAGAACTCGTTTGGCATCGTATTTGGTTTGGCAGTTGGCAGTGCAAGTTTTACTTTCGTGATGCCGACGTTTTCTCCAGGCCAGCACATTGCCAGTGGGCACGGTGCTACTTGGCAACCCTTCCCCACGGCGACGTGGAATTTTACACGCGACTCGGCATCTCCAACTAAGAATGGAACCGACCAGCATGTCTTTGCAGGCTCGGCTTCTGATGACTCGCGGTTCGGTTGGGGTTGTTTAAGCTTACCTTTGGTTAGTAGGAAATGGAGGAATGGAGTACCAACTAACCAAAGGTAAGTAAGCTGGCCAACCGGCTCCAAGCTCGGCAGAAGCCTTCCAGAGCAACCAGAGTCGAAGGCTTCTTTGCAGCCAGGGGCGAAGATGGTTTGTTTCAGAGCATTGGGATTGCAGAAGGAATTAAGCCAAAACCTTTCTTGCCGTGTGATGCTTGCTTCAGAACTCTGGGGCCTCTAGGGCGTTCGACGCCAACTCAGGAGTGGCCGCATCCGCCCTATGGTGTTGCCAGATGTTCATCTCCTGCCGCAGCCGGAAATCAAGCAGCGTCTCATCCTGGATGCGGAGAAGTACAGGGCTCAGTCTTCGCAAATCCTTGGAAGGGCTTCGAAGGTTCGATCGGAGCTCTTCAAGCATTCGCGGCAAGACCAAAATATCCTAAAGCATTTTGGCAGTGGATCTTTCTCAGGAGAAAGGAAGTTTCCGTGAACTTCCAAGACACAGAGGCTGAAACTAAGTTCGCGATCAAAAACGCCCAGGAATCGCCGGCATGTTATTCTATGGTGTTCTGCTAGAGTCATGGGATCCAGTGTCGGGAGGACCGCCATTCCGGGCCAAACCAAAGGCTGGATCTCAGGGTGCAGGAGTCGTCACGGGTAGCGACTGCGGCCGCTCGCTTCGAAGGTTTGCTTCGCTTGCGATGGCGGTGAGTTTGCTCGAGGCCAAGCATGGCCTCTGTCGAAGGTCGCTGTCGCAGTGGTTGCAGTGACGTATCAGTCTACTTCAGTCATCTAGAAGCTGAGGCCGCTGGGTGCAGCAGCACTGCTGCTTCTCGCGGTCAGGGCGACGTTCATTTTCCTGCGAAGCTCGCCCCTCGTGGCCCTCGGGCTCAGGAGTGCCCCAACTCAGCGCCCATGCAAGCTTGTTAGGTCGACCCGATGGCTGTAATGATGATGAGGAGGTCTCGGTCGTCGCTTGCCATGGGAGGTCCCAGAATTGCCGCAATAATCTTTCCAGGCTCTGTCGTTGCGGCAGACGGCTCACGAAGCCGAGGGTCCGGGGCCCTTTGCCAACTTCTCTTTCACCGAACAGGTGTCTGTTTGAGGTTCGAGGTGTGAATACCGCAAGAGTCCAAACTGTGTGCACGCGGTATGGGGGTTCAGAGTCGCAGGGAAATGACAGGACCGTGAGAAACTAGGGCCTCAGTTGTTTTCACCGCAGCATTAAAGCAGTGATTCAGGCAATCCAGCATCAGTCGGGGTCTGAGGCACGATGACGGTGACACTGATCTGACTTCGGGTGCTAGACAGTGAGACCAAAGCTCGCATCCACACTCGCAGTAGTAGTGGTCTGCACAATGCCCAACGCTTGGCATTGGAAGCGAGGGTCGCATGTCTCTAGGGCGTGTCAGTTCGCGGAATTCATTAGTGCGGCAACTCCGTTTTTCGCGCCTCCATGCAATGCGATGTGAGGCACGTTGCCCGAGGTCGAAGGAGTTGGCGAAACTCCTTCTGAAGAATGTGAAACCAAGGGGCCGCAGCATCGGAAAAAAGTATGGCGGCTCCGTGCGGAGCTAGGAAAGGCAGCCCTCAATTCTGTCCGAGTGCAGTAGCATGAGAGCTGCTCACGCAGCCCGGAGCACTCACCAGGAGTCATGGCATTGCACTATCTCCCAGCATGGCTACCTGTTGGTGGCTAAACGTTGTCGTATATGTTCAGTGCACCTAGACACGGAAGTGCTGCAATTTGCAGGTGCACATGTTTCTCTTCAGTGGTGTATACGTTCGTTTTTGTCCACATTTTCTGCATTCTGTTGTTACGGCTCTACGTCCATGGCTGCAGCGTCAACACCGCTACCTACCTTCCTGCCTACCATGACCTACCTACCTGCGCACAAACACAGACGCGACACTGATACTGATACCTGTACTTACAAATCATAAATCCATTCATTCTTTCAGTCTTTCAGCCTACGGTCAGTCAGTCATTCGTTCACTCATCCACTCCCTCACTCACTCACGCAGGCATGCATGTACGAATGCATGCAATCACTCAGCCATTTAGATATGCAGTCAGTCATGAAGTCACTCAGCAGCCAGCCAGCCAGCCAGTCAGTCAGTCAGCCATAGATTTTACACACATACAGTCACATACACACGTTGATACATGCATTGCACATGCACCCATTCGTATGTGCAGACATATCTATCTATATATACACACATACATACACGTACGGATACAGATATCTGCATCATACATACATACATATATACGCACATACATGCGTATGCATGCATGCGGTACGAATGATTCAGCACTTCAAGTTGTTGCGGCACAGAGTGTGGGTTGAAGCTTGCTGAGTTCTGTTTTGACAGGAATTACAAGTTCTGCCAGCCGCAGTTGGCCGGCGATGGAATGTTTGGGTCGTGTGATTTTCATAGTTTCGCTGCAGCATGCGCTCAAATTCGTGCAAAATGTCAGTCAGTGAAACCGGGCGTTGCAGAGCGTAAACTTGGGGAAAGGGCTGGTGGCGTAGCCTTTTGGTGACTGGCGGTGACTTTCGCAAAATCGAGCGTGCAGCTGGGTGGTGGTGCCTTTCGCCGGCCGGCGGTGCCTCAGGGCGGACGCTTGCAGCTATTCGACACGGTCAGCATGAAGTTGTAGTTGTATTGTGGACATCGGATCCCTGGTATCTGGTAAGCGCCATGATGATGTTTCGGCCTTGGGGCTTTTGGGCCTATGTAGGATCTCCAGGTCCTCATCTGTGGGGAATTTCGAACAAGAGCAAGGGTTGCAAGGAGCAATCGCCGAACACGCATTTAGCCATTTATCATTTATCACGAAAGCTCGCGTAGCAGAGCTTGAGTTTAGTCTTGCTTTTAGCAGGGAGGCAGTCTGGGGCCAGAAACCAGCGTATTATTGATAGTATCAATTTAGGGGGGGAGCGGGGGGGCTAAATTGAACGCTTCACGCGAAAGCCTGAGTTTTTTTTTGGGGGGAGGGGGGGGTGCTAAATTGATATATCAGTACTTGTTTGTGAAGTGTTTGTGAAGTGCAGCCATGTCGCTCTGCGTTTTTTCTCTTTTTGTGAAGCTTGGCTATAATGGTGCTTGATTTCTGACGTAGGATGCTGCATAACCAAACAGTCATTTCAGCACATTCACCGGCTACGGTGTTTTTCGTTTTGCGTCTGTGTAGCCGTTGAGTCCTGCTGTCGTGTCCTGTTGCGAAAAAAGACCGAGCTTTCGTTCTCCATGCCCCCGGCCCTCAAGTCTATAGTAGGTGTATACCTTCTACATGGTACATCTATGCACCTGTTCGGATGCACATCGAATCTGTTCAATCTGATTCTTCCTTTCCATCCCGAGCTAATATTAGGGTGGAAGGTCCATATGTGCGATGTCCGTTTAATTAGTTTGCAGACGCATGTTTGTTGTCAGGAGCATGGGCACCAACCTGGCATCCGACTGGTCTCCCATGAGGCCAGGGCTCAGCAAAAAAAGGCAGGCGCAAGCTCTCACGCTCCATATGTTGATAGAGTTTTTTGTTAGGTTGTTCGATCATCTGTTGAGTTTGCCGGTAGAGGATTGCAGCTTGTAAGTGCGGCCAGGTGGAGCGCCAGCTGCGCATGGTCCCTGGAGCACTGTTCAGACTAACGGCGGAGAGCTCATGCAATTGTGAGAGTGGCGGTCAAGACACTTTGCAGCCAGCAGTGAAACCTGAACAAGGCCAGCACGAATGGTGAGGGCAAGAGCTGGAAGCAAGAAGAGGCGGAACGCGTCTAGCGAGACTTGTGTCCTTACCCATGCAGTGCCCTCGCTGCCAGATCGAAACCAGCCGAAAAATCCTTGAGAATCCGTCGCCTGCTCCGACCTCGACAAAGAACCGGCAGGCACGAAAGTGTTCACTCGCCGTTGTGCGACGGAGTGTGCTCGGGAATCGGAGCGCTTTCAGCCTTTCAACTTTAGCGTGTTCAGGTGCCTATAAATAGCAAACCAGTCATGTTTCTCGTGCAGGAAGCGTTTCCTCGACAGATTCGTGGACGGCCCATGTTCTTAGGCGAGGCGAAGGAGATCCTCAAGGTGCGAGACTTCTCGTCTCTGGCTGTGAAGCTCGGGCCCCGAGTAATCTTGAGCAGGCCTTCAAGGAGTCGTTGCTCACGCCGGCCGTCGTCAGGAGCGGGCTTCTATCAGTTCAAGAGTCTTGAAAGTAGAATTCCATGCACGATTCCATGTACGATCTCGAAGTACAATTGCAAGTACGATCGCAAATGTAGTGTAAAAGTATGATTCCAGGTTCGATCGTATCTGGAAACGTATATTTGTAGATCATTTGTAGTGTAAAAGCACGATTCCATGTACGATTCCGGCCCAGGCACGATTTCGAAGTACGATTCCGGGCACGGTCGTATCGGGAATCGCACTTGGAGTCGTACTATCAATTCGTACCTGTACATGTACTTTGCAATCGTATTTGGGATCGTATTCAAACAGTAAAACTTATTCATCCTGGACAAACAGGACTTGCCTAGCCAAGGATGTCACAATTCAAGACTTTGACTAAGCTACTTTTCTTCTTGTTCAAAGGGCTTGCATGGTTGCAGATGCCGATCGGCTGCAGATGCAAAAAGGACCATGCAAAACATCGAGCAGCGCGGTGGGATGCACATGGAGCAGCATCGCCGGGTGTTGATCACGCAGGCCCATATGAAAAGTTGAAAAGCGGGTCATCAGATACCTTGGTTGTCCCTGCTTGCTGGCAGGAGTGGAACCCCATCATGAAAAGGTTCGACTTTCCCACCACCGAGGTTGGCAAATGGCAAAAGCTACTCGTATATGCACTGTACTCAGCTCACTTCCCGGTGAGGATGGGTACACCGCCATGAAGTCTGGCATTAGGCAATGCTCTTGCACGGGCATCCCTTGCCACATGCGGCGATGTGCAATTGAATGAGTGCTTTGAACGATGTCTTGGAGTGTGAGGGAGTTTGCGGACAACGACTACGTGCGCTCTTGTTGCCACGAGGCAGCGTGGGGAGCGAATCTAACCTCTAGCACAGGGCACAGGGACATAACCAAGACTTTCGCTATGTAAGAAGCGGAAGATTTCCTAAGAGGTGCCCTGAGTGAAGACGTACCTGAAGTCGGGGGGCTGTGGGGTCGCGACGACGAGGCATCTGAAGCGATCGAAGTCGCTACGAAAATATCTACAGCAGTGGTAGCAAACCTACGTGTGATTAAGATTTCTTACGTTGCTGCGCATCCTCGAGGTCGAGCATCTCTGCGGCGCTCCAGCTGGAGCCTACTTCGGCGTCCCCACAGCCGAGGAGCGCACCGCGCTGGCAGAGAGCCGAGAGAGTCCGAGAAGTTCCGCGGCGGATTGCGGCAGGAGTGGGCGGCTCGGAAGGCTGCCGAGGCTGGGCTCCGGCGCCCTTTTTGCCTTGGAGACGTTTTGCTTTGCTCTGTGCCCCAGGCGGAAGCTGCCCGAGCCGAGGAGAGGCGGAAAGAAGAGGAAGCCGAAGCCAAGAGAAAGGCCGAAGAGTCCCGGAAGGCCGAGGAGAGGAGGAAAGCTGAGGAAGCGAAGAGGCACGCCGAAGCGAAGAAGGCTGAGGAGGACCGACAGAGAGCAGAGGCAGAAGCGAAGCGGAAAGCAGAAGCTGCAGCTGAAGCTCAGAAACATGCAGAGGAAGAAGCGAAGCTGAAAGCTGAAGCTGAAGCTCAGAAACACGCAGAGGAAGAAGCGAAGCGGAAAGCAGAAGCTGAAGCTGAAGCTCAGAAACACGCAGAGGAAGAAGCGAAGCGGAAAGCAGAAGCTGAAGCTGAAGCTCAGAAACGTGCGGAGGAAGAAGCCAGATCGAACCTGGAGGCTGAATCCAGGAGAAGAGCAGAAGAAGAGTCGCAGAAAGCAGAAGCCGAACAGACGGAACAGCCGGAGCTGAGCCGGACAGAGGTTCCAAAGAGTGCCGAGGACGGTCAAGCTCAAGTTCAAGCTCAGCAAGCAGAGCTGGATGGTCAGGATCTAAGGACTGAGTCGAGCTGCGAACCTGCAGTTCAAGGTCAAGTTGATGAGCTGGAGAGGCTCGCAGAGGAGGCGCGGCAGAGAGCTGCCAGACTGAGACGAGCAGACGAAGCACGGCCTGATTCACCACGGAACGAGCCAGAATCAGGCAGGGACACCGCCGGCGATCCTGCAGAGAAGGCAGAAGAAGCTGAAGCAGGCAAATCGCAGCAGGAAGAGGAAAGCCATGTCCGGGATGCAGCAAAGCCTGTAAGTCCTGACTCGGCACAGGACTCGCAAGCGAAAGGGTCGAATTTCAAAGAGGAGAGCCATAGCAATTTTTTCCACGAAGAGCCTCATTGCTTTGATGTTGCTCACCAGGTGCCATTGTGGGAGCAGCCTTCAAAAGAGTCCAGACTTGTCGGGGCTGCCAGCAAAGGCGCACAACTACTGGGAGCAATACAGGAAAGTACAGGGGGCCAGCAATGGCTCCATGTTTCGTCTCGAAGCTGCCACGCCCTGGGTGCTCTGGCTGACTCGGCTTGGGCATTGATAAACGAGCTCAACCTCGTGCCGGCTGTAGAACGCCAGCCACAGGCTTTGGGCTATGCAGGACGATATGAAGTCGCACATGGAAAGGTGGCAGTCAGGGCTTCTCCTTCTTTGAAGGGCAAGATTATTGGAGTGGTGCATGAAGGCCGGATACTCATGGGAACACCCCATAAAGTTGGTGGCTACGCATGGCTCCGTTTTGAGGAGAGTTCCAGGAAGAAGCTCGCAGACATTGGAGAGGAGGCCTGGGCGCTGATTGACGGAGAGCCTCTGGGACTCCAGGAGCTTCTCCGACCACTCGACAATGACGGCCGCAAGACGCTAGAGTCCTTCCATGCGAAGCAGGTTGAGCCTGAAGAAGCTTCGCAAGCCGATCTCACCGTCGAAGGCCCCGCAGAGAAGCAGGAGAAGACGGACGGCGCGACTGAAGGCAAGCATGAAGCGAAAGACTGCAAAAAGGATTCGAAGAAGGAACCGGACGCCAAGCATGACGTTAAGGAGGCCACAACAACGGCGATATCCGACCCAGCGAAGGTGGAATCACGCATGAAGGCAGCTCAGCAAGCTCGCGACGTACTCTCTGGACCCATTGAGTACAAAGTCCTTGCCCAAGACCATGCTGCCCCGGTGAGACAAGAGCCACTGGTGCAGTCGCCTGAAGTGGGCAAGCTTGAGAGAGGCCTTCCGGGGTTGCAGAGTCGAATAGTCAAAGAACACGACAAGGGCAAAAATCCACAGCGCGCCTAACAAAATGCAAGAGAATGCAACTACAAATCCAAGCTGCGCTAGTTACTTCCGGCGCTGCTTATTCGTGTTGCCTTTCTTTCGCGCTTGTCCCGTTGCGTTGGTGGTACTGCAAGCACAACCACGATCGCAGCAACAACAACATCAACAAGCAGCATCACCAACACCAGCGGCAGCAGCAGCACCACCACCAACACCAACAGCACCAGCAACAGCAGCAACAGCCTGAGCACGAGCGCGAACATGAACAATCACAATAACAAGAGCAATAACACCAACAACGCCAAGAACACCAAGAGCAACAACGACGACGACAACAACTACAACTACAAGTACAGCTGCTGCAACTACTACTACTACTACTACTACTACTACTACTACTACTACTACTACTACTACTACTACTACTACTACTACTACTACTGCGACGACGACGACGACTCCAACTACTCCCTGCTGCTGCTAATGCTGCTGTTGCTGCCACTGCCCGTAGCAGTACCGTCGCCGCGCCTTTGCACCTCCGCTTAGATGATGCACACAAAGCATGGCGACGGCTCAGGGTCGGGCGTCCGGTATCCTTGATTTGATCAGCGGGATGAGTTGATGGGGGGGTCTCGTGGTTGTGTCAGAGAGCTTCGGAGAAGCGTTGCCACCCTCTGACGCACCAATTCCTGAAGGTCGCTTGGTTCTCGGATATCCCGGCGGAGGCGAAGTGCAATTGCGGTCCTCTGTGTGCACATACAAGAGATTCTGAGGGGTAGGGGTTTTGGGCAGGCAGGGTTGACATCAGGAAACCTAGGCAATCCTTCCAGGAAGCTCCCTAAAGATCTACGAAACAAGCGTTAATAGTGGGGTTTGCGACGGCTTTGCAAGGAAGACAGCTTCCGAGCTTTTGCGATGTGACCTGGAGCTGTCAACATCAATACGGTTTGATCTTTGTGTGGAGGCTGGTTGCAGCTCGCTGCAGTCGACGACGTTGAGAAGAAGATGCATGGATGTTGGGCCAGAAGCGCACAGAGTTTCTGGCTGTGCCACACATGAGCCAATCCTTGCGCCATCTGAGGTCTTCATCGGCACCCGTTTGTCTGCTCAGTGGGCGGAGCTGAACATTACCGGTGAGTTTCAGGGAGCCCTCGAGCTTTCCTGGCTTGGCCTCCGGAAGGCCCCCCTCAGCCACTTTGAAAGAAGCGAACTCCTGAGAGCTCTCAGGGTTCTCCCTTGGGGCCCTCAGGAGAAGCGCGTGGCCTACAACGTGGAGTGGCGCACTCCTGAGGCCCAAAGCTCACAGCCTGTAAAGGTAATTCGCCCTTGAGTTTGGATGACAGATCGTGATGGAGCCTCTTCTTTTCGTGGCAGGGCACTCCAAATCCCAAGAAGGGCCACAAGATCTCGGCGGCGAATAAGGTGGCGAAGACACTGTGGATGCAATCCATAGGGGGTGCAGGATTACGACTGGCTGTTAGAATCATGGGGCCAGGCCCTAGCCCTAGCATTGACAGATTCAGAGGAAAAGCCTGGGTCGGGTCGGCTTACACTTTTCTCGGCATGAATTTGCTTGAGTGACGGTCGTGTGTCAGTGTTGATGCCGTCAGGCAAAATCTTAGCCGTGTGCAGTCGGCAGAGCAAGGTCCCCGAACGATTGTCTAAACCTGCCTCACCCTCGATGTTAGACATCCCCAGTTCTCATGCCGACAATTCAAATCTGGTGCAGCGCACTTGAATCGGGTTCAGCTTGCTCTGCAAGTGTGGCAGGTGTTGGTGAGCGGCCTTCCACAAGGGCATCCTGCCTGAGTTCGTTGGTTGTCAGTTGCACTTCACCCGATCGGGGCTGCTTCTGCAAAATCGGCTTACTGGTCACCGGTTTGTAGCCTGTTGTCCCTGCTTCCCATCGGTTCCGGGCTACTTCCTTCGAATCCTCGTGCCCAGGTGCGAGCTGCGCTCTCAGCTTCTCGACGCTCTCATTCTGCAAACCGCGGGTAAACGAAGTCAAGAGCCAAGATCCGGAGGCTGAGCTTTCGAGTCGGAGCCCGGGTTGCTGCGGACGGAGACCAGGATGACAAGGCTCAGCAGATCTGAGCGTCGGGATTTCGAGGAAGCCTAAACTATTCTTTCTGCAATTCCTTGCCCAAGGGTGTCGCGGCAGGCCATTTGCGTTTTGTGCTCATGATCTCAGATCTCGAGCTCTTACACCTGCCCCCTTCTCTGCCATGCAATGTGGGTTCGTGCCTTATCCTATGGGCTCTTACGTTTTGCGAACGGAGTGTCGTTTATGCACCTCCATTCCCTCCCGGCGCTTGCATGGCTTGCGCAGCTGCGCAAACTTGGCTTTTCCTGAGGTTCGCTCTCTGAGTTCCTTAAGCTCCAGCTTCGGCTCCCCAAGGTTCCTCAGTGAAAGATAGGCCAACAGGAAAAAAATGGAGCCGAGGGTCGAACGTCCCGCTTCTAGGTTAGAGCCGAATTCGGGAGAGGGCAAGCCGCCCCTTCGCCCCCACCAGACCTCCGAAAGCCGAGCCATGCCAAGCTGTGTTGGCGCCGCATGGTGTGAGAAGAGGTGCTCACACCCGCAGACGCGGTTCAACAAAGGCAGGCAAGCAAGCAAACGATCAATCAACCAGCCTGTCCACCAACTCACCAACCACCAAACGACATAGCCAGCCACCCATCCACCGCCCAACCTACCGCCAACCAAATTAGAAAACTGCCACCCGACCAGCCAACCAATCAGCCGGCTAGGCAAGCGAGCAAAAGCAAGTCAGCAAGCCGGTAAATTACCCATGCTTGCCACTATTATCACTAAGAAGGCAACAAGTGAAGCAAGCTGTTTCATGCAGTAAAGCTATTCCAACCTCGCCCAAGGGTGGAGAAGAACGCAAAGACAAAACAACATCGGCTATTCGGCAGGCCACTACGGACCTCCCACGAAAAGCAACAAGCAACTTCCCCAAGACCGAACAAAACCAAACCTTCACTTAGAGTTTTCCAGAAGGATTCCTCACGGATTTCGCAGCTCCTTTTCTGGCAACGCACCCCCGGAACAAGACAGCAAAGGGAAGCTGTGCTTTCTTGGCAGGATGTTCGCTTGTGGGGCTCCTGGACGCAGCTCCTCACCGGCCAGTTCTCGTGAAGACCCTGCTGGGCCCCAGCATGCAGCATGCAGGTAAGCTGGATTAAGCTGGGCTTTGGGGAGTGGGTAGCCTGGCTGCGTAGTGACGTTGCTCCCGAGGTCCATTCTGCTTGTTGCTCCTCCACGTGCTTGCAACTCGGACCGGGCTGGATGTGCAGTGGCTGCTTAAGTTGAAAGCTTCTGAATTCTGCCTTCCTCTGCGGCAGTCTCTATACAGCAGAGGTTCGTTGTGTCTCAGTGAGCATTGTTGCCCAAGCCAGGCCAGGGTCTCTTCAGGTCTTTCGGGATCTGAGATCTGAGCCATGGCGCCGTACCGACCGCCCCATATGCGGAACCAACCTCCGCTGCCGAAGCTGGTGTGTTCGAATCGGAATGAGGTCATCCGTACCCAACCGAGCCAGACCGACACCATTGCCACCTTGACAGCGAACCTGGCGGAGGAGTTCCACGTGCCAGAAGAGCTTATCAGTCTCGCGAAAGATGGCGCACCGCTTCAGGACACCAAAAAGGAGTTGACCACCCTAGGTGAGTGCACCATACATGTAACCGTCAAGCCAGCGAGTCACGAGCAGATGGAGAACTACATCCGCTCGAAGGGCTCTGATCACTTCTTGGGTGCAGAGTTGAAATTGACAACCAACGCAGGCGAAGAGCTTAAAGGAGAGCTTTACTGCATACAGGAGCAAGATAACTCTTGCATTTTGCGAGAGAAGCTCAGCAATGGATGCGCCAACTATTGGTGGCTGAAGTGGAACATTATCACTAGCATTAGCATTGAGAGCATGCCGGACAAGAAAAGGTCTGATTTCAGGCCTGCGGCCGGCGTTCCAGCCCTCGAGCGTCGGAGTTGACGAATTCAGCTGCCTGTGTCCAGCCAAATCGTTGTGGATCTTCGCTGCAGTGCAAGTCCGGTGCAACGACCTTTGCAAGACCTTTGCAATGTGGCTGAGTCAATCAGAGAGCTGCAGTATGTTTCATTTTGTCAGGGTAGTGTAGACAGGCCCCACTCACCCAGGGACCTAGGCCCGAGCTTTGAAGTCTGCGGTCTGCCACAGGAACCGGAGCAAGCTCGATTCCATGAAAGCCTGTAGCATCAAAGACCTTTGACGATTGAATGCACGAAGCAGAGAGACCTCAGGCTAGGAGAGTGGGACACTCTTGATCAACCGATGTAGAAAGAGGAGTTCAGTTGACACGACTCTGGAGATAGACAGACCTATGTCTACTCCTCGTCAGCGACCCGCCGCTCTGGGCAAAACACTTCTGTCGTCCCCCTGCGTGCGCATCCAGCGTCCTCTGTCGCGATTGTTTGTTGAGTGGGGCTAGACTGCTAGACTCAAACGACCCTGGCCCATCACTCGGCTACACATGCCTACCAAATCCAAAGGGTCGTGCCATGGTCTTGACGCTGCAGTTTCCAACTGTCAGAAGCTCAGGTTGCCAGACCATTGCTCTCGGATGTGAGATGTGAGGACTGGCAGTGTCCCACCTCAAGGGCCAAGGGCTCCGTGTGGCTCCAAGGCTCTCCAGGTCGCAGTTCCTCTGGGGCCTGCAGTCGCTGGGACTTGCGAGATGTGTCGCACGCATCACGTGCAGCCCCAGCGTGAAGATTGCACAAGTGGGGACGCCTATGCCTCATACTTATATACCCATACTCCATACTCGTACCTATTGCTGGGTGAAAGAGGCCAGAAGACCTCAACCTGCACTGTATATGCGCTTCCTGCTTGTCTGCAATCTTCTCGGCGTTCGTTCCACGATGAATATCGATGAACCCTCCGGTCGCCAAAAATCGGCCTTTCTTTAGTGTAGTTAGGAACACAAGTGTCCGACGGTAAAATGAAGGCGCGAGTGCATCCCGTTGCATTCGGGGTGCATCACAAGTATTCCAGCAGCTGCGTCCGTCAAGAAATCGGTGGCTACTATCTGGCTCAGAGCGCAGTCAGCTCCTCCAAGGAGTATCCCCGAATCTGCCAGAAGGCCGGAGAAGTTTTTCCCACTCAGATGGGAGCTCCTAAACCCTAAACCCTTTGTTTTCTCCGCATCGGCCGAGGCTCTGCACTGCTCGCGATGAGCCTCCGGCGCGCCATTGCCCGGGTCAGCGAGACGACGCTTCCGTTAAGGCCTCCCGAATAAACACGCGCTACAAACACATACACATACTTGCATCAGTCTGTGTATATGTTTGCATGCATGTGCGAAGTTGTTCGTTCCTTTTCACAGTTTGCAAGTTAAGTATTTGCTAGGTGTCCGCCTGCCTGTTTGTATGTTATGCTCGGTTGATTTGTTTATGTTGCATTGTTTACAGATACAGCTGGGTAGACATGCAGCTCCTAGCGACCTACCCTATCTCTCTCTCGCTCTCTCTCTCTCTCTCTCTCTATCTCTATCTCGCTCTGTCTCTCTCTCTCTCTCTCTCTCTCCCTCTCTTTCCGACTCTGGCTGCGATTGACACATGAGAACACAGGCCCGTGCTTTTCAGCAAAGAATTTAATGCATCAGGAAGACGAGCGCCCGTGACCAGCTTCGACTCGGCCGCTGCCTCAGAGTCGTATCGGCCCCCATCGGCGGGTATATGGGTGGTTGTCAAAATTAGGGCCCCTTTTTGGGTACCCTAAATATTAGGTGCCGTATTATAATAAGGACCCAAAAAGGGACCATAATTTTGACAGCTACCCACATGAATCTCTGTAGGAAGAGGAATACAAGCACTCTTGTGTTTTTTTCAGGTTCCTATCCGGTGCCGCCAGAAGCCCACATCTGGTGGGCCAATCGCTCTCAGGCATGGATGCACAATTGTCCTCACGTAGCAGAGTTGAAGAGTTTTGACGCATTCGCTTGACTGTTGCCGCTATGACTGAAAAACTCAGCTGGTTGCAGGTGCCGGGCGGTGAGGCAGGGCAGCACTTCTTGAGCTTTCTGCTGGCGCCAATCAGTTGCCTTGCAGATCAAGCAGACCTTCTCCCACTTGCAGCAGAAGATTATGTGGCAGCAGCAGTCTTAGAGCTCCGCCGAATTGGCCGGGCCTGTTTGCAAGGTTTCTTCAACTGCACTGTTCCGGTTACGTTGCTTTGTGTCTTCTCGTCTTGGCGTCTTTGCCCTCCTCCGAGGTGGTTCTGGAACGCCCCTGCCCGCTGGCACGCCCCAGTGTACACGTTTTTATAAGTTGTGTTCCTGCCGTACCAGGGCCTTGTCGTGACTTCCTTACGAGGTACTGGCGCTTGTCGAGTCTGGCTTGGCCAGCTGGAGTGCCATGCCTCCTGATGCACCCTCCTGTGGAGAGGTAGCGGGCATAGCATGCTGAGTAGGAGTGCGCCCATCAGGTACATCTTCGTTTACAAGTCCTGCGAGTGCGACGTTGAGGCCGCCTGATGTGTCATCAAGGTGTATCTATCATCTGCAAGGTCTTGCCCATGTAGCATGCAGAAGAGTTGACGGGCCTAGTTTTTACGGAGAGCGCGCGGGCCTAGGCGTCCATCAAAGCCAAGACATGGTGGTGAGAGATGAGCCGACCAGCCACCAGTAAGATTGCAGCATGGCACGAAAGTCTCGGATGTTGAAGCGTGTTGCACCGATTGTGGACTGTGGCTTGTTGGGAAGATGGATGCCCTTCCAATGTCTGGATGAGGGGCCCCGCTTCAAGCGTGTCTTTCAACGGGGGCAGCCTGGCTCTCTGCCACGGCCATGACCTGCCTCAGCAGAGGAGACACAAATGTAGCCTTGCTTAGAGTCAGATGGCCTAGCAGAGCCCCGTGCCTGTGTCCTTTCTGCGAACCACATGATAGGCTGGAGGATCTTGTCTTTGCCGGAAAAGGCTTGCAAAGGTGACAGACTGCTTCCGAAATGCAAAGCTTTGCAACAGGAGCATGAAACGTTGTCAGCGTTTTCTGCCTGATTGATACCCAATCTGCTGCTGATTTCAGCCAGTAGGCAATTTAGCTGACACACGGACTGCAGAGACAGCCATTAGTTTCGGCTGGTACATCTTGCTCAACTTGTCACGCGTGACCTCTCATCATGGTGGCCGGTTCAGCAGCAGTGCGGCACAAGGCCGCCAAGGGACTCCAGCACATCATGCTTGTTAGGATACCGGGTTCGTGTTGTATCGCCTGGCCTGCAGGCAAAGCTTGCTGACTTGGCTTTTTCCAAAGTTGAAAGACGCCTCGTTGAGCTGGCAGGCAGGGGCACTTGGCTGTCCTGGGTTGGCACAGCCGCAATCTCTTGCAATGCCCTGGGCCGGAGCACACATTTCAGGTGACAGGAACATGGATGCCAACAGCACCAACAAAGTTGCGGTGCTGGTTTGGAATTATCCCTGCAATCCAGTGCAACGAGCTCACCTCGAGCTTCTTCAGTCGCTGTTCTTGCATGCCATTCCTTGCAAATGTGTCCTAACGTTTCAAGGCAGGCAGGATTGGAGGGTCGTACGGTATGGGGCTTCCCTCCGAAGAAGACGCGCAGCAAAGAGTGGCAAGCTGAGCTCAGCCAAGGAAGGCACGGCAGCTGCTGGAACGAACAGCTCGGATACCAGTTGCGGCAGCATACCTCACTCTCACCCCCGATGCAGAAGCACCAGACTGTCCATGTCTCCCCTTTGCCCTCCGTACTGCATTGTGCCGGCTGGCATGCGAGGAGTCCGACTTCGTAGAAACTTGTGCTTGGGGCTGGGACATGTCCCGGACCGGCGAGAGGATTATTCAGCAGCTGACCGCGAAACTGTCCTGGAGTGGAGGTCTGCATTGGGAGTTCCAACCGTGGTGCCTCATGACCGAATTGCGTGCCTCAGATTTGCGTGCCTCAGATGACAGATCGTATCACGATATGCCCGTTGTGTGTATGGGCCCGGCAGTCCAGTCGCCAGCGCGTTGCACCGTCACAGACTTGGAAGCTCGAATCCGCCGGGTGCGCCGGCGCAGCTACGAGCATCATCCCACGGTCCTCCTCCCAACAGCGCATAACACAGCTCTTCCAGAGAGCCTCGCGGAGCAGGAGCGGCACCTCCAGAAACTGCTCATCAACTCAGACTGGGAGCAGCTCTCTGAGTCTGGACTGGTCCCCCCCAGGGTGCTGGAGCCTTTGCGCCGCGGTATGTTGGACCCAGCCGAAATGGATTTCCAACTGCCTGGCGTTGACGAGACTGATGATGAGCCCGAGCAGCTCGACACCAAAACGAGTGCCTGGGCAGACCAAGGCTTCAGCAAGGATGCCTGGGCCTGAGCCCTCAGACGCCTCGCATGAGATTGGTCGAATCTTGCATCACCTTACTTAATTTCACGACCGAGCTCTCACAACCAGTCACTTCATTCGAGATCTGCCCTCTTCGGTAGCCTTGCCTTTGCACTTACGTTACATCGATTTTGCGTGTTGGCAGCCAGTACCGCTTCATTGAGGGTTTCGGAATACACCCTACACTGAAGGGGAGGCTCAATGCTATCCACTCAGGTATATTCCTTGATTGGTCTCTCTGGATTTCCTGAGGCATTCAAGAAAGGCCGGCTGCATTTCACCACAGGCGAGGCGGCGAAGGCCAGGGTGAGAGTCTCAAGCTTCCGATGTCGGGAGATCTACTCCCCAAAAAGTGGTTCGATTCACCATTCTAGGCTATACATTAAATAGCAGTATACTGTGTGGAGTATGGCACACATGTCATGCAGTATACTGTACATCAAATGGTACCTATGTTGGTACATACAACATATCAAGGCATAGTGTGTGGTGTACAACATGTAGTGTGTGACATGCTGCTTTATATTAGATTCTGGATAATAGGTCATATTTCATGTTATTGTTACACATTCATTATCATTCCTTATGTGGTGCATGTTGTATGCTAGATGTTATCCGTTATATGTTGTACGAAATGTCATGCTGCACCTCATGACGGCTAGAAATGGTAGGTAATGAAGTGTTCATCCTGTGCTGTATTTCACATTACTCAAACATAATATACTATACTGTTAGATTGGATAATGTATACTCTACAAGCAAACTACGTTGTACTCTGTACAGCATCCATATCCTCATGCAAAATCCACGCACTGGATTTGCGAGACACGGATATCGACACTCGGCCATCATGCGCGCAACGCCTTCAACCAAATCCTGAAAAGGTTAGTAGCACGCAGCGAGAAGCTCCTTCCACTCGCGTGCGGTGAAGGCCTCTCAGAGCAGCGGTCGCAAAGTCATCGCACACCTTTGCAATGATCAAGGGAACGGAGGACGAGAGGGCCGTGCAACTCCTCTTGCTGCAATGAAAGAATGGCAAAAGCAACATGTGGCTGTGTTGTCTCTCTGCGACGGGTGGT